TAGAAAAATTGAAGAGCTGGCGAAAAAATATCAATTGGCAGGTCGAAGGCGAGCGACACGAATTTCTCCGTAAAATTAATCCTTTAATACTTTATTGGCGTAACCAATATCCTACTAATCTCCAGGAGATTTTTCGGACCGAAGAAATTGAGTGTCTTCTTTTGGATTCCATTAATATTCTTGAAGGCAAATATGATAGAACACTTTGTCAATTCATCTTCTTCGCGTCTTTCGGCGGCTACAAGCATAAGCCCGAAGTTGATGAAGACGGCAAGATATCGTCCCGTCGCACTACACCATTGCATCATGCGGCTAGACACGAGTACACTTGTATCGTCTATATGCTTTTTAGAATATATGACCAATGCGACGTGAATTACACCGACGAGTTCGGACATACCCATTTTCATGTGGCCTGCGAGTTTGGCTGTGACGATGTCATCAAAAAATTTCTTGACCTTGGACATGACCCCAATTGTCTTCTTGATAAATCGAGTTCATTTGATCCGCCGCTGTTCTTGGCTCTGAAACGCGGACAGAATATGATGGTCGAATTGCTACGTAGAATAGATTTTGATCCAAATTTAGTCAACAAGCACGGATCAACACCTCTGCATATAATATGCCAGGTTACTAGATGTCTTACTTATGTACATACTAGTACTGTGATTTACTTTGCTTATAACTTTGCGAAGACGTTATTCGAGCTCAACAACAAAAAATACCAACCAGTGCAGATCGAAGCTCGAGATAATTTGAGCAACACACCGCTACATGTGGCCGCTAAATGGGAAAACAAGGTAATGATTGAATTCCTGTTGAGGAAAGGCGCCAATCCGAACTTGGTCAACGAGGAGGGATGGACAGCTCTGCATCATTTCTACCATTGGCAGCTTCTGGGTTCGGATTCGAGTACGATTGATCTATTCTTCAAGATCTGCGACGAAAAACAGCAGCTTGTAATGGTCGACGCTAAAGATAAGTTGGGTCGAACACCCCTACAATGGGCCGTGGCCAATCTCTGGCCAGATGGCATCGATATTCTCTTCGAACATGGCGCTGATCTGTCCAATTTCATTTTTCCCACTGAAAACTATTTCGCCGAAAGATTTAAATCGTGGAAATATGAGACAAACGGATTATATGGATATAGATTCCCCCTAGCTTCTAGAGCTCTGGCTGTTGTCGAGCTCATAGTGAAAAGAGGGTATCAATTGGATCGGAGCGACGTCCTGACGGTTATGAAATTTTTCGAAAAATATGGATTGTTCGAGAAGTCGGACGAACTTAAAAAATCTGGTTGGTATGACGAGGGGAAGGAGGTGGCGTATATTAACAAAGACACAAAAGAAATGATGATAAGTCCGAGTGTGTCGCTCTACGATCTGACTCGGCTACAACCCAAAAAAGCGGAAAAACTACTCACGTATACAGACTACTGGAAGTTTAAGTTGTCTAGCTATTTATGCTTCAATTATCGTGAACCTTGTGATTTGCATCTGTGTGAGAAATTATCAAGAGGATTTTTTCTGCACTGGGCTCTGGATCCTTTCTGGGAGTTGATTCACAAACGATTACCACTTGAAATCTGCGAAATGATCCTTGAGCAGCTGACGAACGAAGATTTATATCACATTTGCTTGACAGCTACACTCCAAAGCTCTAAACCTCATTAGTATACTTGCAGTAACTTTTGATTATGTTTGGTGTTATGTACATGTAAAACTTGCAATTTTTTTTAAATTACAATAAATAAGTTTAAGCAAATAAGTTTTGATTTTTTACTGAAAAAATATTGATAATTATAATATTTCTATGTACTCAAAATAGTTTTATTATTTCGTGTAACGTCTTCGGATTTGCATTAATCTTTGTCCTGCTCTAGATTGAGCTAGGAGGCTTCAATCGGAAACTTGAAACTGTCAAAATTTATTAAAATTTGACAAGAAATTCAAAAAAATATTTCCAAATTTTTTCACCGTAACCATCGGGTTCTAGAAACCTTATTTTGATAAATAGTAGATTTTCTTACAAGGGGGAGAAATGAAACTTCCGCATGCACGTGATAATGGCGCCGAGGCGAAGCCGAGGCGTCATATCACGTGTATGAGGGTGTTTCATTTTTAACCCGTGTAAGAAATAGTATTTTTTTCCATCCCCGCGCAAAAGTTTTCATAAAATTATCCAAATAAATTCAAAATATAAAAATAAATTCAAGATCTCAATGCACATAAGGACTTGCATTTGTTTTTTCTTTCGCACCGAGATCTTGATTTGCCGCCTGATTGTGTAAAAAACAAAGCGGTTACGATTATTATTGATTTTTACATAAAATCAGTTACATGCGATGCGAATTCTTTTCCTTTACTTTTAGTATTGTGAGCGTAGCAAGTCATACTAAACGTTAACATATGACTCTGTAATTAAGGAGGTTCGGGAGTCTCAGAGGGGGACGAAGCGGGACGCGAGGGGCTCCTATACTTCCAATGTTAAATTTTCAGCGCTGCCAACTTCGAAATAACACGAAAATGTAGGTTTTTTTAATGAGCTGGCACACAATTATAGCTATTATTAATAATTCAATCATTTTGATGAGTTTTTTTCGATGTTTTAGGCTTAAAACAATATTCTATTTGTCATTAGAGTCGAATGAGCACATATTTTTGTTGTCCTAGCTCATTTGTTGGTTAGGGTACGCGCAAATGACCCACGAATTTTTACACATAACAATTTATTTCTCGATAACTAAACGGTCGATGAACTTCTTTTTGCAGTCAAATTATTCCTTATTAAATTTCCTACATGTACGTATTTTTTTCTATTTAGTTTCTGTTTTTTTACATTATGTTTATGCTCATTGAAAGCGAAAATTCATGATTTCTCGTAAGAAACCATGTTAAATGGTCAAAAAATTTTTTCATCATTTTAACAAAATTTTGCGGTGAAAAGTTGTATTTTGATATTAACATTCATATTATAAAGTTTCAAAGCAATTAAACGTGTTTTAAAAATTTGGCTGCATTTCGCTGAGACTCCCGAACCTCCTTAAGCTTCGAATTTTAATGATCGCCCCGACATTAGAATCACGAGCGAAGCGTGTGCTGCTCCGGTTGGGGGGGGGGGGGGGGGGGGGGCGAGCATCAATAACATTAATAAAAAAACATTATTTTCATTTTGATTTGTGTGTAACAAGTTACACACAACATTCTTTCTCGTCCGTAGACATACCATCATGCGCGAATGATATTTCAGGACTCTGCATAATTTTTATCACGTAATTATTATAACATCTCTATGTATTGATGTGTCTCCGTCCAATTGTAAGCTAAGTAATACGGGCAATAAAATTATAAATATTACGTTGCTAGGCTGAGCTGGCCATAGCAACCAATGCATCTGTTGGGCGCGCAAAAGTGGGCAAAAGTCCTTCTTTTTCTAGGCTACGCGTACGGCCAAAGTAAATACTTTTGCCGGAGGGATGGAAAAAAGTGGTTTTTAGCTTAAAAAGGTGAGTTAAAATGTCTGAAAAAATTTGAAAAAATTTGAGGTTACTGTTTTTACTGAAATAAAAAAGTGAAAAATTGTCGAAAAAGTTATTGCATTTTAACGCCTTCTATGAATTTTCAAAATTTTAAATGATTTTTCTAAAGGCCTGAAGCACTTAAAAAATCTGAAAAAATTCAAGGTTGTTTGGATTGTTGAAAAGTATTTTTGTGAATTTTTTTAGATTTTTTAATTGCTTCTTGTCCTCGGAAAAAATATAGATCGAAAATGGACGTTTATACCGGAAGTGGGGGGTAGGAGGGGGGAGGGGGTCTAAAAAATTTTTTTTGGGACCTTTTTACCATGTACTATAACATACCAAAAGCGCGTCAGGATCGGTGACAAACGTGCGCACGGTTTTGTAAAAAAGTATCATTTTGACCCATATGAATTTCGCAGCGCAACTCACGCCGCGCCGCAACGCACGTCTTTCTTATGCACGTCCGTGCGCGAATGAGCTCCGCTCCGGTGTGCGTTATATATCTTTTTATGACCGTGCGCACTGCACACGCAGACAGACATATTCTCGGGTAATCATCATCAACATAATCGTGTGTACGAAATCTGCACGCATGTACGTGTGACGTTCGTGTGTTATGCATACACGTACACATACACGGACGACGACTGACGACGAGGGTGTGTTAAAGAGAGGCTGGCAGTACCTTTGCGCCGCTGCGCTCGTCCGTCTCTCGCGGAATCGGAGTGCTGTGTGCTGCGCTGTGTGTGCCTATATATATATATATAATAATGCTGGATACGTAGCCATCGCGTATACTCTTACTATACACAATATATTACCACTGTATACTGCATCAGTCTCGCGCGCACGACTCGCTCGAGCAGACTGCAAAAATCTCTTTTTCTCTCTCTCTCTCTCTCACTCGCTCTCTCGCGCTCGGCTCTTTTCTGAGCCGCGACTCTATTTTTCCTGTCGTGCTCCGTGCTCTGTATATATATATGTGTGTACAACACACGCAGAGTCTATGTAATATTTTACGGGGAGTACTAATAGCAGCACGGCAGCAGTCAGTCGGTCGCTCAGTCGCGCCTGTGCCTCTTTATTATATATATAGCATATATCGAGCGTTTGATTCCTCTCGCTACGTGGTTACAATCTTTTATATATAATAATAAAATATATATGAAGTATAGGTGTGCTCTCCACCGTGGCAGCAAGTGCTCGTACGTCGTATCATAAAAGCTGCTGATCGTGAGCTAGCCAGCTAGCGCGAGACTAGTGTGCCGCACACCACATACGCAGACACAGTAGTGAGCTGCTGCTGCTGCTGTTGCTGCAATTTTCACCGCGAGATCGTATAGCATCTCTCTCTCTCTCTCGGTCGTCTTCTTCTTCTACTTGATCTCTTTCTTTTTGCACCCCCGCTCTCCGACTGATTCTGCTGCTGCAGCAGCGCGTGTGTGTCTGTGTTTTATTATTATTGTATAGTATACGCGCTGCACATCGTCGTCGTCGACGCATGCTGCTTCTTCTTCTTCGCCCCGATGGTGTACGTTAAAAAATAGCAAATTCAGTGTTGTATTCATTTTACGTATTACAATAACAACAACAAAAAAAGCAGCAGCTCTTGTCACAGTGAGTCCAAGACGTGGTCGCGCGCGTGCGTTATAGTTACATACATATATCGTGCAATTGATATCGCACGAATTCGCTAGCTACGAATCCTGCAGAAAAACAGCAGCAAAATGAGCTTCCTCTTGTGAGTACTTGTCATTTTTCCTTCTTGCTTCTTTCTTTTTTTTTGTTCTTTACGTCATTGAAGCGAGTATCGTAGCCATTAAGTTATGGTGTAATATTCGTGTGTGACGTGTGTGTGATTATAATCAAGCATCGTCGTCGTGTATAGGTATACGTGACTTATACTCCGCGAGTGTTTTGAACCTCGATCATCGTCGCATATACACAGAAGGCCCATTACGATGTTACGATGCACTTCGCGGCGACGATGCTGCTGTGTCTGCATAATAATGACACGACGACGCGACGACGTGCACGCACGTATATATCATAAACGTGCGTGTGTGTATACGAGAACGTCTCTGTGTTTGCGTTGTATCGGTGTGCGCAGAGTGAATGAGTGCGAGCGCAGTTCTTGGGTCCGTCTATTGCACGCGGAAAAGAGAACTATCAAGGTGTGACAATGGCGAACTTTCTCTCTGTCTCTCTCTCTCGCTCTCTTTCTCTCTATCGCTCGCGCGTACTTTTTTTTTCTCGGAATTGGTGAGACTACCTCCTCTATATACACACACACACACGCACGCATGTAGATAGATACAAGAGGTGCCTGTATGTAAGATCGCGTTTTATAAATCGAAGAGAAAGTTCACGTGTTGTATGCTTGAAACGAAAAATCAGCCAAGTGTTGAGGCGCCTCTCGCAGATACTTATACATACACACACACACACGATATAAGACATTCGCGCATTACTAACCACTGTATACATACACGATGTTTTATGTATGTGTACTAACGTGCGTGTGTGTTGTCTGTCTATTCTTTATTATAATGACAGGATGATCGACACAATGCTTCGAGCACACAGCTCTCACTTCGATTTTTTTTTCGAAATTTTCCCACCAAACGACCCGATGACTCATTTTCTTCCTCTTTTTATTTTTGCGTAAGCCTTTTCGAGACGGGTTTTCACATTATTAACGTGCTGGAGAATCCAAATTTGGAGCTGATTCAGGGGGGCTCAAATTCGGAGTCGATGACCATCGCGATTGTGCAATTGAATCTTCGATCAAATAAACATGACCATTGCTATTGCAATGGATGTTCCAATTTTTTCACTTGTGCATGCATTATGAATTGAACTCCATTTTCTTTTAAATTTCATTTGAATGCGTTTTTGAAGTTTTCAAAATTTGATATCACACTACTGGGCTATAATGTTTATTTTTTTTAAATTTAAAAAACTTTTACTCGTTGATAAATAATATATTGTTTGTATGTCAGAAGAGTAGATAAAATTTCTTCAAGAGAAATGAGTATAAAAAAGAGAAAAAGAGAGAATGAGAAAGCAGTTTTGTTCATCACATTTTCTTATCCAATGCTGCTCCACTCATTTCAAACTGATAACCTTCTGCACAATTTTACACTTGTGTCAGCAACACTGATGAAATCACAACTGTCAAGCCCATTAAATTTACTTAAGTTCTTAGACGTCTTCTCGAAGTGCAGAGAGACATGTATTCTAAAATTGTTGAATATCTTCTTAGTTGCATTCGCTACAGATATTATTATCTACGAAATATTTTCTATAAAAGAAGCAAAAAAAGATACTTGCTAGACGTATGAGCTTTCAATTTTAATAATGTTAAAATGGTTTGTTTCACACAGTGGAAGCCGTTCTTCAAAAACCTTCAAGCCAAAAAAGAACATACCAGAAGGTACCCATCAATATGATTTGATGAAACACGCTGCAGCAACATTGGGTTCTGGTAATCTGCGTTTGGCTGTTATGCTGCCAGAGGGTGAAGATCTGAATGAATGGGTAGCAGTAAACAGTAAGTTATTAAATAGTTGATCAAATAATTCAATTTTGATTGCAATTACTAATGATGTTTTCAATACTGCAGCTGTGGATTTTTTCAATCAAATCAACATGTTGTATGGAACAATCACAGAATTTTGCACAGAAGATAGTTGTCCAATCATGTCAGCTGGACCAAAATATGAATACCATTGGGCTGATGGCCTCACAGTGAAAAAACCTATCAAATGTTCTGCTCCAAAGTATATTGATTACCTTATGACATGGGTACAAGACCAATTAGATGATGAAACACTTTTTCCATCCAAAATTGGTATTTAATCATCTATAAATTTTTATCCATAAATACATTTGGTATTTTAATTATTAAATTAATTTTCAGGTGTACCTTTTCCCAAGAATTTTCTCTCTATTGCAAAAACAATCCTGAAACGATTGTTCCGTGTGTATGCTCACATTTATCACCAACATTTTAGTGAAGTTGTTCAACTTGGCGAAGAGGCTCATTTGAATACTTCTTTCAAGCATTTTATTTTCTTTGTTCAGGTAAATAAAACATCTACTTTATGAAATTTAAATTTACAAAAAATAAAAAGAAGAAAATGTTTTGTTTTTCAGGAGTTCAGTTTGATTGAAAGAAGGGAGCTGGCCCCCCTTCAAGAGCTTATAGAAAAGCTTACAGCAAAAGAAACTCGATGAATATCTCTTATTGTAGAGTAAACTAGAGCAGTAAAACAATTATTGTAGGTACAACTGAGGCAACATGAAACTAACAAAATCAGAAGAACTGTGGGAAAAATCTTCCAAAGAATCTCTTTGATTTGAAGTTACATCTATCGTTTAAATCATTTCAGCACAGATATTTCGGTGTTCACGAAAGTTGCTTAGAACAACTTGCATGTGTGAAAAATTAGTCATGAACTTTATTCAACTCTTTTTCTGCATGAAAACACTGACAATATAGTGAAATGAACTATAGTGATTGTTGTTTATGGAATTTAGTGTTATTTGACAAAACCGTAAAAAAACGATTGAATTTGAACAAAAATATGGATTATCAACGATAGCGCATTTTAAATGACCATTTTCGATTGCAAGTTCGAACGCAAATAGACTCTCTTCTATTTAATTTTTCGACGTGACCATTCATATTGTATCGATTCTCTGCCCGAGTTATCGCTTCGTTACATCTCGTTGATATTTACAAGTTTTGCTCTCTGTCCTTTTTCTTCCAAAGTCTAATTACATTGAAATAGTCACGAAAGACTTATTTGCACATGACATTACATAAAAGCTTAATGACAAGAATGTGAAAGATTATGGCTTAATTACTACAGCATTCCTACTTTATGGGTGCTTTGATATTTAATTTAATTAATTGTTTATTGTTATTTTAAAAAGGAAGTTTTCAGTCATCCACACAGACTATGAATTAAGGATGATTTGCAAATCTTGTATTAATGCTATTATTATAAATATTATAATTTTATACACATCTACATGATTATAATTTACTGCAAATTATTCAAGATGATAAACGCTTTTACTCATCTACTGAAAGTGAATATCACCATAGAAGTTTGATTTTTATCTCATAATTGCTTTGATGTTTCAAATCAATTCTATGAATGAAATTCGCACCGATCAACCCGAGAAATTTGTTTTTCATGAAAAAAATTATTGCTACGCTGTGTCGTAAGAAAATTTATAAACGATGTGTTTGTTATATTATATTTATATATTTATACTAACTACTTTTAGTGGACACACGACAGTTTTTTTCTGTTTTTATTGATAATATACTTCGTACTTTAATTCTACGAGATAATCATGAACTTACTTTCATTGAAGGTATGCTGATTATATAATATCGTAATCATAATTTGTAATTAAGTGATGACAAAAATTTTATTATAAACTTATAATGTAAAAAATTCGCGCTTCCGCTTGTATCGTTTAGTTCTTTATTTTTATAGTAATCGTGTGCACTGATTTTTTTTTTATCTAGCTTAAAAAGTCGAAAAGAACTAAATCTCACGAAAATTGTGAATTGTGTAAGAGATAAATCAATTTAGAAAGTTTTAAGAAAAACCAGAAAACGTATACAATTTAAAATTTAAGGATTGCGATTGTATCAATTGCATTCTATCAAAAGAATAAGACATATTAAATATCGTGGAACCTACAGAAATTGGGAAATTGGCTCCCTCGATGCAGCCACATTATTGTATAAGAGAATATTCATGCACTCTATTTTTTTTTAATCTCATAATAATCAATGAAAGGCAAGAAGCATTGCATGCTGAAAAGATTCTTGAGTCCTGATCTATTTTGTACGATTTAAAATGAACGTCAATTGCCTTAAAAATTGACACATATTTTTCGTCAATAATTCGTCATCAAGGTTGCCTTACGAAGTGCGATGAGAATCAAGAATCGTTTTTCATGCCAATGTGCGGGTAAAAAAGTAATAAAAAGAAAACAAGATATTTTTTAATGTCGAAAAAATACGAGCTTGAGAGACTTAATGTGAGAACGATCGTATATATTATATTGATATATATTCAATACAAAAAGAAGAGATGGGCACTAAATAAGACACTGCCAATTTATCTGCCAATTATCGGAAAGCACTTGGTATCAAAAATATATCGAATGAAATGAAATAAATGTATCATTCAATTTTGAAAATTCATACCATCTTTATATTGTTTGCGTAAAATCTTTTTCGCATCATTGTTTTTCATAATTTACTATATGACAAGGGAAGCATTTGTCAATCCGTTCGACATATTATATTGTATACGTGGAGGATTGAGACAATGTTCAATATTTCGTATTATATGCTTATACGTATGTAAAAAGGTCGAGAAAGCGAAGACACATTGATTTTTGGTAATATTCACCCTCTGTACTTAAAAGGGGGAAAGATAATCATGCGTCTAAGCCGCGGTAATACGTGTTCGTGTGCAGCTCTCGGAGTTAGGGTGAAAAAAGTCGAATCGGGGGCGAAACGTAGACGCTTAAATGAGTTACTCGATTCTGACATGCGATGTACATTTTGAATATTATGTATACTTTCCTAACACGCAGAAAATATAATACTTATTCCTTTTTTTCATATATGTTGAGAAATAATTACGGCATTGTAATATGAGACGATGAATATGAACTCCCCGGGATACCTAATATTTTTTTTAAACACGCAGGTAATATCGAGTTTAAGATGTAACATTGTATCGTGCTTCGTTTGTTGCATAAAATATGGTGCTATAATTGTATAATCGACTTTTTTTTTATTAATTATTGTAACAATGCTGCAGTTTACCTAAACTATCCAGGAAACTTTTAAACGAAAAATATTAACGCCAGTTTTGTGACTAAAATTTAATACTGCCAATTCATAACGTTATCGTAAAAACGCAAGGTAAATGTTGTAATATTGCTGCAAACATTTTTTATATTTTTAATAAATAAAAGTTTGCATGGTATAAGAAAAAAATTGAAATGAAAATGGTAGTCTTGCGGTTCTAAATTCTACGATAGATTTAAATGATCAAGTTTAATAATTATATCGTATTATGTAATGCTTATAGTGGCATTATCGAACTGTAATGTAATCATGTCAAATTACTAATGAGAAGTACACAAAAGAAAAACAAAGTTCAACGCAATAATATTATAATGCTCGAGCAAATTTTGAAATAGCCTTCTAGAAAGAGAAAACAATTCAATCTATACAAATATTACCAAATTGTGCTTTTGTATTTGCGCGCTAGGTTGCTGACAAAAGATCGATATTTTAAAAGATATAAATACAGAGTTCGAACGTGACATAGCCAGTTATCGAGTGGCATGTATTTTTCCAAACTGCGTCCAATGAAATATATATATACACAACGCATATATATATTTTTAAAATTAAAAGTATGAAACGTATATAACTAATTACACAATTGTTATTTTGTAAGTACATCGTTGAACCGGAATATCGATGTTATCAGCGAAAGAGTGAGAGAAAGAAAACGAGTGATCGTAATTATCATCTACGAGACTCTTTATATCGATGTAAAAAAATCGGGGTAAAAGTTAAGAGTGATAATGAAATCGAGTTATCTATAATGTAGGAGGCTTCTGGGTGATAAATCTGTGCAATGTAAATAGTATTTTCCAAATAAACGAAAGCTCAATGTAGTAAGTAAATCAACGAAAAATATAGACTCAATTTTTTTCCTCTTCTCCTAAGGTGTTGGTGCATTGATCGAAAGATGGCATATTACAAAAATCAAGTTTATTCGTCAATTTTATAGATATACACTTGTTACGTAGAAAGTTTTTTCATCATTTTCGCAATTTCATTTAAAATGGCCGCCTCGACGATTCATCAATATACATATTTCAAACTTATATTGGCAATATCAAATTCTATTGTTGTAGCAACATCATACGAAATGCAATTCACAAAGTTTTAAAAATTTGCAAGAGAAATCGTATAATAAATTCGGCATCGCGGTAGATAGTTACGCAGATTAATACGATACAAAATACTCTTTAATATTATTTAAAAATTTTTTAAAAAAAGAGACAAAAGAGACGTATTTTTTCTTAGTTATATTAATAATAGCGACGCCGAACGTCGAGGCATACCGATAAATTCTTCTTTATTTTGTTTTAACCTTTATGTTACTCTTTTTTGGATTATCATGACCACTTGGGCCAGTTAAATATTACGTACATCTTGCACTTAGACTCTTATATATTCTTCATAGTTTTTAACTCTTATCATATTTTCAAATACTCCATCAAGGTTGTCCTGGATACATTTTTGTTTAGAAAGTCTAAACTATCGTACATGTATTACATATTAAATTTTTTGGTGAGATTCTGATCATTACCATCATAAACTTCATAAGAAGGAGAATCGACAGTTTTTCGCTTTTGTGAAAATGATAGAAGAGTAACTTCGTAAAATTATATTCTAATTTCCCATGTATAACAATCAAACTGAATTGGCTACAAACAATTTTACAAAAACGTTCGAAATACTGGGCTTTAAAATTTGATTTAGAATATAAATTCAATTTAATTTTTACTTTTCAGCAAAAAATTTAAATTAAACAAATACAAATACTGTTCCAATTACACATAAATTGAAATTTTTCTGGATATACAAGTAAAACAATTTTTCATTTTTTTCCATTTTTTGAAAGAGGTTGCGGTTTCTATTCCCTGTCAGTTGTTTAAACAGCTGGTATCATCTCCATTCAATTATTTTTTTTTATACTTTGCTATCTTATTGTATCTTTTATAAGATTCAATTAATTAGTCGCAAAAGGTTCTCGTGAGTTTGATCAATTCAAGCAATAGATATTTTTTATTATTTTATTGCTTGAATTTACAATTCCTCAAGATCACCGCGTCACTTCTAATATATTTTATAACATTTATGAAATTATTTTAAATAATTGTTGGGTACTTTTTGTTGTATTTTACTTTAAATATATTATAAGATTCGTAGTATATATAGTTTTGAACACTTAAAACTTTTCTCGGTGTCATCTCATATTTTTTTGAGTGCCAGGTATTTAATAACATTCTTACCATACAAACGAAGTATATCCGATTATTTTGTTGTAATGCCTGATATCTAGTTATTTCTTTCGTTCCTTTATCAATTATAAGTTGTTTTTATATCCATAGTGATAATTATTTTATTACATGATAAATACGTAAAAAGAAGAAAAAGGATACGGTTCTTCCAAAAATGCATTTTTTAAACCTAATATACAAATAATGCATAATTTTATAATAAACCGACGTACTTAATTTTTTAGTATTGTGTTAAACATGTTGGTATTATAAATTGGCAAGAGAAATTGATAAATATCTAAAAACAAGTTAGAATATTTACAGAGTCAGGTTCTTTTGTGTTAATTACTGTAAATTTTTGGTTTAGATGTATTTATACTGAATGAAAGTTTAAACAATTTACACTCAGCTTCATATGGAATGAACTCATATAATAATTTCTTTTTTATAATTGGAATTGAAAATACTTTATAAACGTGTTTTCATAATAGAAACAATCATAACTAGCTAAATTTTTATGTCTCTTTGCTTTTTATATTAACTTTGATAATTTATAATAAAGAATCTTGTAAATCCTATTAAAAAATTATCGCCTTCATTACTAGGCCAAATTGGATTTGAATTTAAATTCAAATCAAAAGCCATAAGTACAATACGTAAGCATTAATTCCTTCCAGATTGCACGTTATTATATAATATCAGTATTTTACACTACACTTTGACGGCGAGCAAAGCACCAAGTGAACAATTCACGATGCATTATTTTTTATAATAATAATAATTACTATTTGGTATTTTTTTTCATACATTTTTCGGCGTTTACTCTTCGTTGTAATGTCATTTAATTCCTTCTTGCCTAAATAGCTAAGGGTTTTCGCTAGGACATGCGGTAAGTTAATTTGGTATATCTTATTTGGTTTTTATTATTTTTATCATTTGACTTTGACACGACACTTGGTTTCTCTCTGTAATTGTCTGTAACAGATTACGCTCTACTACTTTTCAATTATTGGTACTTTTGATTGAAACGAAAAATGAAATTTTTTAATTTTTCCTGGGTGATAAAAACTCAACATATAATTTGATAGATATGTCGTTTCGAATACACATTTATTATCAACAATTTATCTGATTAAATCTACCTGTTATCACTCCAAAAATGTCGAATTTATGAGAGTGATAATAAATAATTTAAGTTGCATCTAACTTTCTTTTAATAATAGCTGTATCATAGTCATCTTTGCAATGTCGCATTCGACTTCAAACACATTTACCAACATGTAATAGAATTTATTATTATATTTATACATATAATGAACTTCGACTTTTTATTTCTCTTTGTGATGCTTCTAGAGAATATGTTAAGCCAGTTTATAAACTTTATGACTTATAATTATACCAAATGTTATTGATAGGAGTATCGTTTCATTTACAGTTGTATAAGTTCTTTCATATTATTATTTCATATACATATAATATGTATTCTTAAAACTTATATTTCATTCAACTTAATTTTTCCAGTGGTATTTTACTTTTCATTCATGATGTACATACATTTTTAAGCGTAATTTACACTTGCTATGCTCTTCAATTGGTCTTCAATATATATCTGAGTTATTACTTTTTTATTCTTTCTCATTGTATTTAACATTTGTATTACACATCAACTTGAAAATTTATTCTTAAAAAAGGTTTCGTAGAAAATAATGTAATATACTCATACAAAAGTCACATTATGCAAAATCGTTGCTCTATCAGTCAAAACAATTAAAATTTGGGTATTACTCCAAGCTACGAATAAAAATTCGACTAAGTTGAAAAAATTGTTTGCAAAAGAATATTCCAACTGTCAATGAATTACAACGAAATATTATACTCTTTGGAGTAGTATTACGCTTGGGGGTTTTTTTTTGCAAACATCCCATTGTTCATGAAATCACTGTGAGCTATATTTTTATGCAGTTAAGCAATTTTTCAAATTTTGCTCACACATAAAATTTCGTATTCATACATCTATTGTGTTACACGTATAACACTTATTTTTTACATTATTATGTTAAGAAATACAATTTTTAATTTTAAGATAAAAAAGATAGCTAAATGAGGGGTTATTTTTTACTTTTGGCATAAATAGAAGTCAAAAAACGTAAAAAACGAATTTCGTATAATTTTGGCAAATAAGTCAAAGAAGGCATGACTTATATTTCAATATTCAGCCTTCGATATCGAATTTTTGTAATATCGAAAAATTCAAGAGTGAATTCAGTTTTCAAACGTAAAAATTCAATATGTGATGTATAATACCACTTTTTTACTCTTTGTATAAATAATAAAAAAAATTCACTAGCTTACAATAATACATATGGCACATTTAAATCAGACCTCTATAATATGTATTATATATATATCCATTTCAGCATGTAAAACATTGAAAATACTTATAACATGCATTGGTACATAGCTTTTGAAATATTTGAATATTTATGTTTAATCGAATTCAAATCCTTTCTTATGATTAATTTTTCTAAAAATAATATCTTGAAAAATCACTATTAAAAATCAAAACGAATAAAGAAAGTAATAGGTGGATCGGGGTAATTCACACACACGAAGGAAGACCATGTTCAGTAAATTCAGTGAATATAATAAAATTCACTGGAGTATATTTACATGAAACTTCGTGTACGCATTAATATAGATTACGCACGCATGCGGTGATTAATGTTTCGCGTCTTTTGTGCTCTGCGATTTTGCATTTACAATATTCTCACGGGCACGCGACGATTATCATTTATGGTATACGTCGTCTCGAATGCGTCTCTAGTTATATATAAATAATTCCACTCGAGGGACGCGCGACAACGCGTCATTCCCGCTCACTTAACTTCGGAGCTCGAAAAACGAGAGGGAAAATCTCGGTCGAACACACGTCGAAGCGGTAATGAAAATATTCTGCGAAATAAGTATCGATTAGTTTTTACTTTGCTCGCGAAGCCAACAATATATATTTTACGGTTGAGATCACGAGCTTCCTTATAAGCAATTGACCTAATTAAAATTGTTTCACTGCAATAGAATCTTCCGTTCTGTGTCTTTTGTAAGAGTGCTTTTTTTCCTTTCCTTATTTTCTTTATTTTATTTTCTTATAAATCGTACACCGTGTCGGGGAGAGAGAGAAAGAGAGAGAGCGCGCGCGCGCGAAGGTGTCTATTAAAATGTGCAACTCGAACTTATAGCGATAAGTGCAGCAACAAGGGGAAAAAAGTTACGTCAGGAACAGAAGAAAAACAAACACGAAGTTCATTTATTACGGGCTAGTGTGTGTTTTATATATATATTATATAGATCGATGTTCATTTTTTTCATTGCAATAATTAGAGCCTTTAATTGCAACCGTAGTCGAGATTGGCGTACCGTTTTTTTCCTTCATTAGACACGGAAATTCGCAAATTTAACAAAAGATCCCTTCGACATTCAATACATTTCACCGCGAGTTTGTGCCAGCGTAAGCTGAATCGAATTTGAGAGCTTGCCACACGTGTGCGCGCGCGCGCGCGCACACACCTGACAATTGAATGGATTCGTCGATTGAAAATACATCTGGAGAAAAGTAATCGTGTATAAATAAAGTTTGATAAAATAAAATGTTACAAACGCGCCAGCGGATACGTGCGTATAAAGCTCGATCGTAAACTGCTGCACTGAACGCGGCGAGCACACGCACTTGCTCCCGCTGCTACTGCTGCCGTGTATGGCCTTTCGGATAATAAAATGAAAGCAACGATAGTATTTGCGAAAGCTTTGCGTGTGGGTGGTGGCCGCGCGCGCGCGAGAGAGAGAATATAAGTATGTGTGTATGTGTGTGTGTGTGACGAGAGTAAATCGAGAAAAGCCCGAAACGCAGCAGTGATCTCTTCCGTAGACTATGGGCTGTAAAACGTGTGAACGACTTTACCATTGACGTCTTTTCCTATTCTTATCCTTTTCTCTATTATGTCACCTTTTATATCTCTCTGAAACGGCCCTTTCTAGTCCGAGTCTCTTCCGCGAGCGCATAGCTTTTATACAAAAGCGAGAGAAAGATAAAGAGACAGAGAGAGAGAGTGAGTCAAGGCTGTTGCTGCTGCCAGCTAGGGTACGCGCACACGCCTTTCAAGCGACTCAAATGTATATAAACCATTCGCGCTGATTTAAAAGGAGAAAAAAAGAACACAAAATAACATAAAGAGAGAGAGAGAGAGAGAGAGAGAAGGAAGAGAGAATTAAAAGAGAAAAAAAACAAGCCGTATTACATAAAAGTGACACGTATAAGTGCAGATACGGGGCGTGTATCATAGCCTCGTTATACGTATCAAACGAGAGCATCTCTTGTTAAATCACGGCTGACAAATCGAGTAAAACTTTTACCATCGTGCAGTAGCTCTTTCTTCCATTGCCCGCGCGCGACTTTTCACAATTGGTATCGGCTGTAGTAACGACGGGCCTCTCAGAGCGTCGTGACGATGTGAGGCTTGGCAGTGGTCGAGGCGATCTCCGACAGCCTGACGTCGATCGGCAGTCGGTCGTCGTACAGCGTGGGAGCTTGCAGAATGATGCCCGCGGTGCCGACGAGCACGGCCAGCGTGAAGATCCACAGGAACAGACGATCCAGCACCATCGCCACGAATTTCCAGTCCTCTTTCACCTGAGTAAATACAGAGAGAGAAATAATATACACGTATATTATACACCGGGGGCATTCAATTATGAGAACGATGTAAAGTAAGAAATATATATACGCGCGTATAATAAAACGCGAGTGTCGCTCTACGTCGATGTAATTACTGCATACAAAAGGCAGCGAGAGAGAGAGATATCTGCGCGCGAGAGCTCGCCCCGCGCACGGCCTCTAATGAGTCTCCGGCACATAATACCCGCCGCGCTGATATAGCAGCGCGCACGGAGAGATCTTCAAAAGAGTTACGCCATTCGCGTAAATTAGCGTAATTAATTTCTGCGCGAAAGTCGACGACATCCCCCAAGCGCGCGCGGACTAGAGCTGACTGTCTGACTGACTGACTCTGCGCGAGTCATTATCGTATATACGAATTCTTACATCTCTCGCTCATTTTTTTTTTTTTGTTCTTTCTATTCATTCTGTATTGACTCACCCTGGTGGAGTCCTCCTCGCGCTTCGTGTGATCGGCGATGTAACGGATGCCCTCGATGGCCTTGTAGAGCTCGGGGCAGTGGTGCCAGTGATTGAGGCTGCGACAGAGCGCCTCGACGCTGTCCTCGCTCGGCAGGGGTCGTCCCGAGGCCGGGCCAGCCGGTCCCGACGAACCACCGTGAATCCGACACTGGCTGCCAAGATTCAGCGCCTCCAATTCCCTGTGTGCGTGCGTGTGTGTGTGCGCGTGCAGCGATGATTTATTTATTTGTTTATTTTTTCGTTTGCAATATCGATAATATATACACGCAATCTGTGTGCGTTTAATTTTATATCGAGCGATCGCGCGTGAACTATTTAACGACCGTATATCCGGTGCGGCGAATTATTTCGAGCGTTCAGAGCGGGAAAGCGCGCGGCCCCGGAATGAGACTGATGAATCTCTAACGAGAGAGAGAGAGAGAGAGGAAATACGCCTGCAGCGGACTGAGGCGCCGGGCTGCAATTGGAAATCGTCTATGATTTAAGTTAGCGGCTTTGTCTAATCACGCGCGCGCGTCGCTACTGCATACATGCGGCACTATAATATATAGTACTAATACAAGCAGTTCCCGTCCTTCGGTACTTTCCGCACACGGTGCCTCAATTACACGATTGGTTTCAATTAGCGTCCGCATAAAAATTTTCTCACTCGTACAAAGATGTGCAAAAGCCATATATCGCACGGCGCATCGACGAAAACACGCGTAACCAATAGTTACGACGATAATGATTAATTATACGAACCTGGGATTGAGCTCGTCGCGCGAGTCGAGGCTCGGGAAGAGGACCGAGGACTCGAGCAGATCCGACGCCGAGGCCTCCGAGTACAGGCCGGGATCTCGGAGCTCGAGGCCGTTGCAGGTCCTGACCATGACTCGCTGCGAGTGATGGCTCGCCGCCGACTCGTGGCTCTTCTGGCGATGATGCGGCGGATGATGCGCGCCCGCCGACGACGAGTGATAGCCGTGATGCGACAGCGACGAGACGTGATCGCCGTGACGACGCTCCAGCTGGTACTGCGGTCTTGGTATGAAGCTATATATACGTAGCGCATAACAGAGAAATACATTGAATAAATTCAACTGTACGGACGGAATGATTTATGTATACGCGGCGCGGTGAGGTCGCGATTCCTGCGGTATATATATATTATATCGACGACCATAAAAATCAAACTTTATTTAAGATTCTCCCTCGCGGCGGCGGGGAATTGAATTAGTGCGTCGATTTGCATTGAGAGCCTATAAAAAGAATCGGCAAGTTTTTTTGAACGACGATTGAACTTTCTTCCGCGGTCTTAAGCAGTGGTACAGACGGCGCGCTTTATGGGATCGTGGAGAGTTTCTTATACAGCTCGGATATATAACGTATATACTTCTTTTTTTCCCTTTTTTTTCTCGAGAGGGCATTGATTTATTCATTTAGCTCCGTGGATATATTAGCGAGCGAAACCTACCGTCGCATGACGAGCAGCCTCGGCAGTACGTGGATGAAGACCCGCCTGACCCAAGGCTTCATCACGTGGGTCTGCGGCGAGCGGAAGTGGACGTTCAGCACCGCCACCGTCACGCATATACTGCAAAAGAAACGAGAGAGAGAGAGAGAAAAAAAGTATTAAAACGAACGGAAATTACTTGAAAATGATCGTGGGGATAATATCCAGACGTACCTCAAAGTATCCAGTATCATAGTGAACAGTACGAATTTGCCGAGCAGCGGCACCACCAGCGACGTCGGCGGAATGATCTCGGCCAGCAGCAGGAAGAACACAGTGAGAGACAGCAGGATCGAAATGGAGAGGCTCACCTGTGTAATAAACAGATAGAATTATTGGACGCGATTAATCGGAGCTCGGCATATCTATTTTCTGCGCCTTCTTTGAATGTCTATATATGGATACGCGCGATGAAAGGGAAAAGAAAATCAATCGTCGCGGGCCGCGACTGCACGTCTGCGGTGCACGAAGTTATCCTAGCGTGTGCGCACACACGCGCGCGCGTTTTCGCTGCCGGCCCGCACAGTATATAATATAGTAGTGCAGTAGCAGCGTTCGAAACAATATTCACTATTTTGGATCAATTACTAGCCACAAATATAGGTCAGGCTCGCGCAAGCTCCATACGTACACAGTAAACGCACACACACACACACACATACGCACATACGAATACGACGCGGGAATATTTCCATTAATTTTTTTTGGCCTTTTCTTCGCTAACCGATAAATCCATCGTTTCCAGGCCAAGGATTCCGGAGTATATGGCCGATTCTCTGGGTTAAATCGAATGTCCATCGAATGTTCCCAAAATGCGCGCCCATTGCTGTAATATCATTGCCTATTTCCGTAAAATTTAGGACTCTTTAGACCACCTCAAAGAATCTAAAAACCATTTGATTCCACAGAAAATCAGCCATACACACTGATATCAAAAAAAAGAAAAAGTAAAAGAGAAAATTTTTACTGCCTCTTTTCGAAATAAAAAAAAAAAAAAAAACGAAAGAAAGCAAAAATTTCTTCTACGCACGCACACACACACACACTGCAGCAGCATGTGAAAAGTGCTCGGCATTCCGCGCGCACATGCAGCCCGCAGTACTATATACACGCGTTATTCGCTCCTTAGCCTTTGCCCGCGCGCATGTAGAGTATATTATAGTAAGTAGTTTCAAAGGGTTGCGATCTAAAAAGTAAGAGAGGGAAAAAACTCAGCGAGGTTATAGCTACGGCTCTCTCTCGCTCGTACTCGCTCGAGCGCGCGTAAGCTAAAGTGCGCGTGTAAATACTTACGCGCGAAAAGTTTGCGTATATATAATGAGAAAATTTCGTGGCGGTAATTAAGAAACCTTTCTAGCTGCAGTGCAGCGAAGAAGAGAGCAGCAGCGGCGGCGGCCTCCAGTATGCGCCAGTCTCTCTTTCTCTATGCGAAGCTCGTCCGCGCGCGCGTCTTTATAAGTGCGCGAGCGAGAGTACTAAACGAAATACATTTATTCACTCGTCTCTCTCTCTCTCTCTCTCTCGCTTCTTCTCGAGCTATACGCTGTGCGCACCTTACTACTCCCCCGGCAATCTGTTTTACACGTACAGACAGAGACAGAGATAGCTTTGTACTTCTAAACGAAGCAAAGACGAAAGACGCTCGTTTTACTCAGTGACTCTTCTTCTTTTTTTTATCGTCAAAAATTTTGAAAATGAGAAATTAATTTTCTCTCTCCTTACTCTCTTTGCCTCCTGCGAATACCGTATAATACCGATTGTTCGACAATTGCTGCTGCTGCTCCCGCTGATGCTGATCGTGATGCTTAAAACTTTCCCAACTATTTCTCCATTAGCAAGATGTAATAGAAATTCTTTCATCGGCGTGTCTCGTTTCGATCGGCCATTGCGCGAGCCGATACGTATAATGATGAATCTATATACATTGTATGTGAACGCGCACACGTAAATTAATCTTACTGCAAAGAATATAAATCGACTCTCGATACATTTTATACCTCTTGCAGTATACGAGGCTTTAGGAGCCCGATTTTTGTATTTTACTCCTTTTACTCGATTATATATGCGCTCGGTAGTGAATTATACTTGCGATAATTTCCTTCTTTCTTTACTTTTTTTGTTTTGTTGTCAAAGATTTTATTCTCAGAGACAGTGTAAGCGCCATCATTTAATTTAATATTTAATATTTAATATTTATTTATTTTGTCAAAGCTTATGTTATTCATTGAAAATATAGCGGGAATTTTGAGAAGAAAAAGTTTGTGTAGAAGCTAGCGAAAGAAATTTTTAAATTACATTTATTTACGATTGTACTAAAACCGACGACTAACGAGTATTTTCATTATAATAATTGGAATAAACACGATTATTTTATAAATAAAAAAAATTGAATAAAGAGAATCAAAGTACAAGAATCAAAGAGGAAGTTCGTGGGTAACGTTCAGAAAAAAACTCAAATAAATAAAACACTAAAAAATTGAATATCAGAACAATCAATGGATTAGAGTTTTTTTTTAAATTTATTTATTACAATTTTGCGATCCACTCATTAATTTCATAAATCTTCAGCGTAGGTAATCTTATAGTTCTTTTGGAGTCTTTTCAACCGCCACGAACCTTTCGTTTATATATTTTTTTACATTTGTTTTTTTTTCACTGTTGGTCAGCAGCTGCCAGACAAATATGATACAAGTCTTTGTTCATCAGCTGGTCGATGATCGGTTCACAGCACTCAATTGGCAATCGGTAATGTATTAATACCACAAAAGACTCCAGTGCCCAGCAGCGGAAAAATCGTCTCGATAGTTTCTCGCACAGATGCATGAAACAGCCCTCAAAATGTCTTTCGGGCAGACACCACGACATTCGCGCGAACATATTGTAATGGCGATCCGAAAATGCGAGTAGTTTTGCTGACTCTTCGGGTTGCAAGCGGATCAGATCGTGGAGCGACACACTCGTACTTATCATCAACTCTTTCACTTGGCTTGGGAACTTTTCGTAAACATACAAATTGTCGTCGACGTCCACGGATTTTTCGAACAATTTGTGATCAGCAAAAAAGTTCATGATCACCAGGGCATCATTTAGGTTCAGTTCATATCCGTTCTTCTCTAGGCTCTCGATGATGACCATCGCCCTAGACGCTAGTACCAATTTAAAACCAAGCCGAAGACCAGATGCGGGATTGAATATCTCGAGAAAATCACACTCAGTGGGAAAAATGAATTTAAACGGATCAGCGCCACGATCCAAAAGTACATCGACCGCATCTGGCATAAGATTCGTCACGGCTAACTGCAGCGCTGTTTTGCCAGACTCGTTCTGGGCATCGACCTGCAACTTCCGATGATTTTTGTCGCAGAACTCGAAGAATATCTTCAAAAATTTTCCCGCATTATCATTGCGGTGCTTCTGGCAAATCAAGTGGAGAGGAGTCATTCCCTTCGCATCGGCTAAATTTGGATCAGCGTCTCTTGTCAGCAACAATTCCACCAACATCCTGTGCTCGTTCTCCACGGCCACGTACAGCGGTGTCCGGCCCAATTCGTCCCGGGCATCGATGTGCACCGTCCGATGTTTTTCCTCGCTGATTTCGAACAACATCGTCGCTAATTCGGTATCGTCGCGCCTGCATGCCCTGCAAATGACATGCAGAGCAGTCGATCCATTGAGAACGGTCAGGTTCGGATCGGCGCCTCGTCTCAGTAGTAATCGCGCGAAATTTCGACGATTGCGAGACAGAGCGTGATGCAGTGGCAAAAAATTTTTCCATTCAGCGATCGATCTGTGACGGTATAAATTTGGATCGTGACCAAGCTCGAGGAATTTTTCGACGGCGTCGTCGCAGAAAGAAATGCAGGCCACATGGAAGTGCGTCAGGCCAAAGTCGTCGCTGTAGTTCACATTGAATTTGTATATTTTAAATAGCTCACGGATCACGTTGGTATGATCTTCCAAGTTCGATAATCTGGCCGCATGATGTAGCGGTGTGATGCGACGCGACAATGGCTTGCCGTTTTCATCTACGTCTGGCTGGTCCCTGTAGCCGCTGTTGACCACGAACTCAATGACTCGTAATCCGCGAACACAACCCTGGTATTCATTCAGGCGATTGACGGAATCAAACAGAATAGTCTCGATTTCTCTGGGCCGAAAAATTTCCCGGAGATTTGGCAATTGGTCCGTCCAACTTCTGATAATGGAAAAAAGTTGACGGAAAAATTCACTTCGGTCTTCTCCCAACTCCCAACGGACAGTTGCTCGTAAGTTTATTAGTCCTGCTTTATTTGAATAATCTCCGTTAGTGCCATAACGGTATGCTCGACGATAAGCTTGAGAATAGGCTTCGTAAAAATCGGACATTTTTCTGCGCACGCACTCACACAAAACGCACAATTATTGCTTTTTTAACAACTAAGATGTGTTCAATTTTTTCAACGAAAATCACTGACTGAAAACGATGCGATATTTTCACGCTGCGAAGTCGTAACGAGTACTCACTGAATGTATATACGCAAACACGTGTTCCAACCTAAAAAAGTATACGATGCTTTCTTCTTCGCTATGCATTACTTTCTAATCGTTGTCGAATTGGGAAAGATTCCGACTACGTAAACGCGTCGTTTGACCGAGAACAGCTATATGCACATGCGCGCGGGCAAGAAAGAGAGAGAGAGAGAGAGAGAGAGAAAGACAGAGATAGGCGGTGCCTCAAATACGTTCTAAAGACACGAGCAAAGAAGAAGACAACGTGAAACTTACTTAGGTGCGTTGGGTAAGGCTTTAGCTAATTTTTTCCATCAATTATGTTTCGAACTAAAATAAAATCCTGCATTTGGCTTGATCTTATTCGTAAAGTTAAAAATATTGAAGTCGTTAATTAATTTTTCACACTTTTCGTAACAATTCAAAAATATAAATATATTTATTTTTCAGTCGATCGTTTCCCGACCGCGTCTCCGTTTTACAATTATTAACGTCCGTTACACGCTACGACGCGTCAAGTGACAAAAATTTCAATCGACATTTTAGCCTGTAATTTTAAGGGTTTTCGACTTTGAGAACTCGTCTTATAATTTTATACCGCATCCCAGCTATGTGTAATCTCTGAAAAATTATCAGCTATTGTACTCGTGCCTATATACCATATGCAAATACGTATCCTCGTAATGTGTATCATAATGAGTGACGCAAACGTATCGGTATGTGCGCTGCTACACGTGTATAACAAATCATTCTTGTAGCGCGTGGCAACGTTGAATTAGAAGCAAAGTGCCGCACAGACACGCGGTCACTGTTGCACGGTATCAAGCAAAATTTTAACTTGTCTCAAGATTTTTTGCATTTCTTGAGCCAAGCCAAAGCCTTTTTCATGACGCCGTATGGTTATTTTTTTCAGTGTACCTTTTGGACTCATATTCATATTTTTCTCAGCTTTTACACCCTAGGAGCCAGAATCAACGTCTGGAGCTGCAAGATCGGAATAACTTGGGAAATAACAACCGGTCTAATGTACATGTATAATTATACATTATTATACAGTATAACGTAATGTTCTAGAAGCGATCTCTCTCGTTGATATCGCGTGCCGGGCTCTCGGCTGTTACGCTACTTTTCATCTTGTCCTTCCAATCGCAAAGAAGATTGGCAGAAATAAAGAGAGAAATGTACGAAGATTTACTTCCTGGGCTGTCTCTCGATTTTATACTCCTCGCGCGCGCTCGATTACGCGCTCTCTTCATCGGGCGGGGGTCTAAGTAAATCTTAATGTAAGTGCGTAGGAGAACAAAAGAAAAAAAAAGAGGCACGCGATATCGAAACGCGATACTTGCAAAGCACTGCGGTGGCGAAGAAGCTTTTCTGATGCGATTTTCGCCTTCTGCTCCAAAAGATGTATAAATTATTACGCGTTACTTAGCAGCGCGCGAGCAAGTAGAACGGCCGTATATTACATCCGACCTTGGTGTCTCGTGCTCTTTGTACGCGCGCTTTTCTTCGCTTACACACCGCGTTCTATATATTTGATATGATTAATTCCCAGCAGCAGCGGCGGCCTCGCGCGTTCGCGGTCCATCGTCGTACCAATGCACACGATGAATAATTAACTCCTCGCCTCGCGGCTCCAATCGCGATGATCTCGTTTGGGATCCGCGGAAAGCACGAGGAAAACAGTTTTGCGCCAAATCGCATCATATTAGTTGATAATTCGTGCGTAAGGCCCGTGCAGCAGCAGTAGCAGCAGCGATTGGCGGCGCTTTTCAACTTTCCTTTGATCGTGGCGCAAAATTTATATGTATTATTATATTATATTATAATCCGCTATCCGCGCGCGCTCCTCCAATCATTTTCCGTTCATGCGCCGACGATTTTGGCTCCGAGCGCCTCGTGCGCTCTTATGTATATACATATAAAGTCAACGCGACAGCTGCCGATGTCTTCCTGCGGCGCTCGATTAATTCTCTCTCTTCCTGCCACGCAGCGCGGCAGCAATTCGCACGAGAAAGTAAACTCGAAAAAGAAGAAGGAGCAGAGTGCAATAATAAAGACATATATAAGCACAACGCGCGGCGCGAGCTCGAGTTTTCGGTCTTGTGTATATAAACGCCGTCGTCGTCGTCGCCACCGCCGTCGCCACGCTCGACCTCGTTTTCCATATTATATATCCGCGCGCAGCACCAAGCCTAATTCCATCGGAGCGCGCGCGCGCGCGCGGTAGAGAGGAGATTCGTTCAACGCGCGCGCGCGCCTGCCTCTCTTTATAATTAAAAGTTGCATAACAAAGGGCTAAATTTCTCGCGGCGTGCTCGGCTTACGGATTATAACGTATTTTTCTCTTCTTTCGGCAAAAAAACGCGACTAATTCGGCCCTCGCGATAACACGCGCGTAATGGAAAATAACAAAAAGATTATGTATATTTGTCGCGCGCCCGAAACTTTTCTGCCCCAGTCCCGGCTGCCGCTGCTGCTGCTACTGCCTCTTCGACAAACAATAAGCCCGAGCGCGCGAGTATTTGGGGTTCACCGCCGTTATATATTCGGTGCTATGTGTATATACGCTACATATAGATATACGCACGGAAAGTTAGACTCGGGGTGCAGCGCTATAGCTCTTGCACGCAGGAAGAGCGAAAGATCGAAGAGATATACGTGTTATGCGAAGTTTCGTTCTCCTCTCTCTCTCTCTCGGCTGTCTGTGTGTCTGTGCTGCAATGTATGTGCGTCGGGGGCTGAAGCTGCACACACACAAGTATATTATAGCTGCCACACAGCCTGCACACCCACACACACACACACGTACAGTGTAGTGTAGCTCTGCACAGCTATCTCTCGCCCAGCGTACAGTATTGTTATCTCTCACTCTCTCTTGCGCCAAGTTCGACTTATTCTTCAGGGCCTTTCGTGACTTATTGCTTACCACTCTCTCCCTCGACTTAACGGTTAGGGATAAAGTTTATAACCTACTATTATACAAAAACTTGGCCTTTTTGATCTATATTAACGATATAGGACCTTTGGAGAGCTTGCGCGCCAGCTCCATACCACTGGCACAGCTAGTTCTGCCCATATAAATACAGAGAGGGCAAATGTATCCAGTTAGCCACATGCGGACTCGCGTCGAGATCGGTGGAGCGTGCGAAAATTATACGACTCTGCACGTACGTACTATGCCAAGCGTAACGTAAACATCGATGTATATATAAAAATTTTGTCCCAAAAATTGTTCGTAATTTATGGATAAGGCACGAGCGCTAAATACATCGTCGTCGTCGTCGAGTTGCAAGTCGAGAGCTGCTCCCGAGAGTTCGTGTAAATTTTTCACACGCGCTCGCGCGCGAACTTTATATCTCTCGTCGTTCTTCTTCCGCGCTGCTGGCCTCGTGTATACTTGATGCGGTGCGAAAAAAACAAACAAATTATATACACGAGTTTGTCTAGCGTGCGCGCCGCCTATGTGTGCAGTATATTTGAGGGCCTGCTTATGCTAAAACGCGATATACACACAGCGACGAACAACGCACGAAGTTCAATTCCATCTCTGAAAATTTTCTCTCTGTGCAAGCACTACTCCCTTCCTCCCTCTCTCTCTTACCTCGACGCCGCGCTGCACACTGTGTATAAGACAGAGAGAGAGAGAGAGAGAAAGCTGGATCGTTTATCATGCGGACACGCGCGCGTGCATCGTATGGCTCTTATCTCTCGAGCTCGTTTCGGGGTCAAGTATATACCTTCCTCACGAGCGCGAATGTGTGTGTGTGTGTGTGTGTGTGTGCATGTGCGAATATAAGTGCGACGTACGCGAAACGAAGATCCGCGCCGCTCCTGCATATAGCTCGTCGAGGTATACGGGAATTATAAAGGATCCGAAAAAGTCCCGCGCAAGCTCGTGCGGCAAGCTATATCCTTAAGTGAGAGAGAAACACACACACGTACTCATACACACACACACACAGCACGACAGGATAAGGAGATAGAGTAGCTCTGCCGAGGAGAAGCTTTTCGCTTTTCGCGCGCTTGGGGAGAGAGAGAGATGTTTTATCGGAGCCGCCGCTTTAGAGCCTTGGCTCGAATATTAGCGCAAAGAGGTGCTGCTGCTGCCGCTGCTGCAGCCGCACGAGCGAGCTTTAATTTATCAACATCTCGCGCCGCGCGTACGTCGTTGTCGGCGCGCCAGATGATAAGCTCAAAGCCCCCCCCCCCCCCCCCCCCCCNCCCCCCCCCCCCCCCGTTCGCTGATAATGTGCCTCGCAATTACGACTTATACACTGCCGCCGCCTCGTTCGCGTGTATATTTATGCATATATACCTATACGTACGTGCGCCTCGTGTATGTATGATCTACTGCATTTTTTCCCCACGACGATATTCTATGCCGCACCAAATAGTATATATGTACGAAAGAGATGACACGCCACCGCCGCCGCCGCTGCGCGACCTCGTTTTTCCGAAAGCGCGTCATCGAGCTTCCGTATAAATTCGTTTGAAATACGTCCGAGGCTTCCTTTATCGGACCGGCGAACGATATAACGAGCGTCGCCGCCTCCGCCCGCCGTTGCCGCCTGCGATCTGACAAAACACGTTCGTACATACATATATATACAGATTCGAGAGCGGCACGTACGTATACAGAGCATCGAAATGTAAACGTTCGATTCCTCGACAATTTATCAATGTATCAATGCTATATAATAAAATAACTGTAGGATAGCAGCGAAAAAGCTCTGCGCGAGGCGTGCAAAGAAAGGCCAAAGTTTATATATGTACGCGTAAGCCGAAAGGTGAAGAGAAAGAGAGAGAGAGAGAGCGTAATCTTGCCACCGCACGCACGCGTATAGGTAGCGCGTTTTGTAATAAAAGCAATATATATTTCACCTTTGACGCGTATGTGTGTGTGTGTGTGTGTGTATGTGCACGCGAAACTTGCGAGGATGGTGAATCGTACAGAGAACCGTCGATAAATCTCGTATCTGTGCGCGCGATACGATGGGGAAAAAAATTTATCGATGTATTTATAAGCGCTCCTCGAACAGGAGTGAGAGAGAGAGAGGAGATACGAGATCGAGATTTAATATTCATTTCGGTGTATTTCGGTATTATGGCCTGCGCATGCAGATCGATGAGAGATTTATTAATTTCGCGCTGCGCGTTGTAATATAAATATCGCGTGTCAAATGACTCTTGTACCGCGCGATATATATATCTTGTCTCCTTGAAACCTCCTCCTCCTTCTCCTCCTCCTATCCCGCGCTTCTTCGCACTTTATCTCCGGGCCGCGGTTTAACGTTGCGTTATTTTTCAGCAGCAGCGCGGTAGAGGGCTTCTCAAATCTTTGCTCTGTGTCTCCCTTCTGTGTTTTTTTATTTTCGAGAGCGGCTAACGATGTCGAAAGCTTTTTGCGCGTTCGCGCGCGCGCCGGGCATCATTTTTGTGTCATCGAGCGAAAAGGGAGACGTATAAATGATACATTAGTGCAAATAATATATCGTTTCTTCTGCGCGCGGCGCTGCACCCGAGGAAACGGTTATTCTTTCTCGTTCTCTTATATTTTTGCTCTTCACTTAAGTCATATTGACACTTCTTACACTCGTCGAAAGAAACTCTCTCTCTCTCTCACTCGCGAGTTATCCTCGAGGAATAAAATTCAACGAGCCCCATGGGTTGCGTGTGCAGTCGGGCGCGATGAAGAGCAGCAGCAGCAGCTCGTCGAGTTATACATACTTAGAGCTTAAAAAACGTCCTCGTCGTCGTAGTCGTTTACTCACCTTTTCGCCGCTATCGCTGGGCAAATAGAACACGAGTATCGTGAGGAAGGATATGCCCATGCAGGGAATTATGAGATTGACCGTGTAGAACAGGGTCTTGCGTCGCATGGTGATGTTGAACGTTATGTCGAGATAGGGCTCGTCGCAGCACGTGTAAAATTTTTCATTTCTGCGCAGAAAAAAAATCAAAGCCATTGAATAAATATTTGCTTCGACTCGTACGAAGACAATAATATAGACGCATACCTGACCGCCGGTACCTCGAGGATGTCCCACTCGACGGACGTGTAGAACTCGGACAGATCGACGCCGATGTCTACGACGTTGCTGCCCTGCACCTCGTCGATGTGCCTCAGATCGACCTGCAACATTATCGGCGTGCATTATTATATAATGCGCGCACAACGCGCAGCTCGAACAATTAACGATCCGGAATTAATTAAGCAACTTTGCCTTGCTATATAACGCAAGCATGCATACATACAACAACAACAACAACTCGGTCCGCACGGCGCGCATTACGCCCCGATAATTAAAATTAACGAATTTCGAGATCGCTCGTATTTCGTATTTCGAAGCACGAGGGGGGCATTATGTGCATACAACGCATGCAGACTAATACACACACACACATATACACAGTACAGTAAAATGGATATGTCATTTATGCACCGCGTCCGCCAACGTCGTCGAGCATTGCCCAATACAACAATGGATAGTTTACTGCAGTTTCTGATCGTCGCTTGAATATCTCTCCGTGCGAAGGCATAAAGCTCTCTCTCACTCTCTCTCGCTATATACGTACATACATATATAATAAATACCAGGACGTGTACCACGTATATAGCAACAACAGATCGCTATATCCGAGCCGTTCTCGGACAAATTATTATTGCTCAAGTCGTACTCGAACGTCGAACAATCGGACGACGTTTCTCGATCGATAATAATGCAGCAGCTGTCTCTTTGATGCCGCGTTTATACCTCTGCTGCTGCGCATCGCCCCACCCTCGCACAGAGCAGTGGTATACCGTATTGTTGCTTGGAGTCGATTCAATTTTCCGATCCGCGCGTAAAATCTTATCTCTCTCTCTCCCTCTCTACGTCGTCGTGTGCTTCCTCCTTCTCGATACGCGCGCCCGCCGTAACCGATAACGATCGCGAGAACGAAAGAGCAAAAAAAAAAAAAAGAAACGCAGGGAACAATGGCCATCGGCGTGCGATGCCGACGTACATACGAGGCGTGAAAATGTCTCACGTCGATTATATACAAAAGAGGGTAAAAAACATTCCAGCTTACACGCCGTGTTGTAATACACAAGCTCGACTGCAAGCACACACGCGCGCGCGGACGATATAACTATGTACGGCCGCCGGGAGACGCTGCAAGCCCGAATATTAGGTCAAAGTTTAAAAGGGACACGACGACGCTGCGATGCTGCTGCTGCTGCTGCTGCTGGGCGAAAGTATGCGAGGCATCGAGGCGCCACACTGTATGAATACAGCTGCATATACAGCGTTACGTGTAGCTATGTACATTTTATAACGCGTCGCTGCCGCGTGTGTGCGTGTGTGTGGCCTTGCGGTATGTTATATACTACGCGCGCAGATACGATATATATTTCAGAGAGAGATCCCTCGATGTACAGCAGCAGCATTTATTATCGCTATTTTTCTATATACGTACGAAATTTACCCCCGCGTTTTCAAGGCTGCTGTACTCGTGATGTAGCACACACGCAGATCTGTGTATTTATGATCCCGCGAGCGATACACGGAGCTATATCTAGATATTGCCGATTTCCGCGCGCGCACCGCGACGTTATATATAAGCGTACAATATTTTGACTGATTTTGTTATACACGTAGGTACGTGCAACACCAACAATTCCGCATGCAATATAACGCGTATGTGTTGTACGCTGTATATACGAACCTGAAATCCATCATATGTCCAGGAGCCAAATTTCATGACACACGTCTGCTCGTCGAAGGGAAAATATTCGACGTCGATCTCGCAGGAAGACTTGTAAATCGCTGGCGGCTTCCATTCGACTCTGCCCGTGTAGTTGAGCGTGGCTTTTGTCGCCAGGGTTACCTCGAAATTCCCATCGGCGCTGTGTGTGGAAAATCGACAGCGACACAGAAAAAGAAAAAAGAACAGGGTTAGCGAATTTTTTTTTACCATACTGTATCTCGTCATTTTTCGCATATTAATTTTTTTTTCTTCGTATTTTCATTTTTTCATTTCGATACTGACTTGTTGTACAAAACTATATCCGGCCGCCATATGTGGTCCGACGGCACGTGCAGCATTTCGACCCCGCCGTACTCCTTCGGATCCCATTTGAGCTTGTAATCGTACCATGACTGTAAAAAGATATATGAATAATGAAGAAAAAAAGAAAGAAGTAAGAAGAAGTAAATTAGCCTTGCATGTTACGAGCGTAAAGAAAGTTGATAAAAATTCGAATTTAATAAGCGAAAAGTCGAGCATCACGCAACTCTCTCCTCGCGGAAACTTTTTATTGCATCGAGAAATGTGCCTTACGCTATAACGCAATAGTAATAATGATAAAAGAAAAAAAAAGAAGAAGGAAGGGGAAAGGAAGAAGAGCGACAATACACGGATACACGCCAAGTATAATATAGCAAAACTATTCGTATATATACAGAGGGAGAGAGAGAGAAGAAACGAAAGATTGTAAAGTTGAGAAAAAGATTTTATACTGTATAACAGTCGTAAAACATTTGCCGCCCCCCGCGTGCACCGAGCACCGCGAGAGCGAGAGAGAGAGAGAGAGTCAAGTCAAAGAAAAGAATCGCGCCGCGCACGCAAAAAAGTATAAGAAGAAAAACTTTTATTGGGTCATGCGCCACTCGCGGAACTCTCTCTTGATTAGCTCTCTCTCTCTCTCGCGTGTGTGTATATGTCTGGTGTACGTTTGTATTGCACAGCGGCAGAAGCAGCTACTGTACGAGGATAAAAAAAGCCAAGTATGTGTTGAAAAGCCAAGCCGGGCGAAGGAGGGTACGAAATGCCATCAATTTCAAGTGGATAAAACGGCGGCGGCGGCGGCGCGTGTATATCCTTAGGTGGTTCTCTTTTTATGATGGGAAGAAAATTAAAATCACGACTCTCGGCCCGAAACTTTTTTCCTCCTTTCTTGTATGTACACGTGCGGACGCGGCGGCTCAGCACTGTATATACTTCTGCCTCAGCCCTCCCTCCCTGCCTCGTTGTGCAATTAACCCATTAACGCGCAAAAGTGCAATTTTGTGCATGAATTTTCCGTTGTAAAAAAATTATAGATAAAGTTAAAATATTTTCTTGAAAATCCATACCCAGGGGTTTTTGGGTATGCTCTTTCAGTATCCGGTGTTATTTTTGCGATAAATAAACATTATCATCGTTTATTTTGCCATTAAAAACAAAAAACGTGATTTTTTGACTCAAAATTTTTTTTCAAAGTCGATTTTCTACCTTGCCTTGCCTTCGGAGGGTTCCCATAACACCAGAAATCGTGCACTTTTTCTCTGAACCTTCAAAAAATGCGCTGCCGCGATTTTTATCTTGCCCCTATATTTCTAAAATGGCGAATTTATACCGAGCAGCGGTATAAAAATTCACTCATTTTTTACTCAGAACCTATTTTACATGCGCTAAATATGAACTCAAAAGTACAATTTGGAGTGTAAAAACTTATTTGAAATCGTTTAGAGAATACGTGTGAATTTTTTCAGAATTTTTCAGACCACTTTGAAAATTTTGCAAAATACGACCATTTCCCGGCCTGTCGAAAAAATCCAAAATGTTCCAAAAAAAATCTGAAAAATTCTGAAAAAATTATTAAAAAATTCTAAAAAAAATTCACATGTATTCTTTGAACAAATTTGAACACTTTTCATTGTATGACTTTCTTTTATAAAGTCAATAATTTACAAATAAAAAATAAGGCAATTTTCATATCGCTGCTCGGTATAAATTCGCCATTTTAGAAATATAGGGGCAAGATAAAAATCGCGGCAGCGCATTTTTCGAAGGTTCAGAGAAAAAGTGCACGATTTCTGGTGTTATGGGAACCCTCCGAAGGCAAGGCAAGGTAGAAAATCGACTTTGAAAAAAAATTTTGAGTCAAAAAATCACGTTTTTTGTTTTTAATGGCAAAATAAACGATGATAATGTTTATTTATCGCAAAAATAACACCGGATACTGAAAGAGCATACCCAAAAACCCCTGGGTATGGATTTTCAAGAAAATATTTTAACTTTATCTATAATTTTTTTACAACGGAAAATTCATGCACAAAATTGCACTTTTGCGCGTTAATGGGTTAAACTTCGGCTTCTACAATCCTCATATACTCTTTCGTTCTTTCTTTTCTTTCCGATAGTAATAAAAGTAAAAAAAAAATAAAGGAGAGAGGAGAGGAAAGGGGTAAAAAAAATAGCGTCGCGCTTTTTCGCGGTGGGCGGTATAGGTATTTAACGGCAAAGTTCAACGAAGTGTGTATTATGATATTTTTATTGAGAGAGAGAGAGTAAGGAACACTTGCGAAAGTTTTACGATACGAATTAGCGCTCGAAAAATAAAAAAATAAAGTTGACGCGTTGCAGTAGGAGGAAGAGGGATGAAAAAAGGCGTATATTTTAAAGCTACAGTCAGGCCGGACACAAAGGACACAAAGATAGATCGAATACTTCGACTTTCGTGCGCCCATAACGTTTATTCGTGCCTTTGCGCGATCAGGTATACGCAAGCTCGCATGCATAGTGTATTAAAATTCCCGAGCCCTTTGCGAAAGTTTACGTATTTTTTTTTTATTCCCGTTACACGTATAAGCGATTTGCACACGCGCGCACGCCGTCAAAAATTTAATACGCAAAAGTCTTTGTCGGCATTGTATTATCTCGAGATACAAAATATCAGAGCTTTATTAAAGGCCCGTGTATATCTCCGGGAAAATCCATTCGCTCGAGCGATGTAACTTTACACACACACACACACACACACACAAAAACGTTCGCATATATATTCTCTCTGCTGCTCTCTCACTCGCGTCTGTCTACGTCGCGCAGCTCTAGCTGTAACAGCAGCAGCAGCAGCAGCAGCAGCAAAAAAACGAGGATGTATATCTTTCGTGTGGCTCTAGCTTCTGTTGCTGCTGCTGTTTCGCTCGGTGCATTCTGCACTGTGTTTATGCCCTCTTCACACGACGACGCGCACGCTGCAGGGAAGATTATATAGCTGCCGGCGTGGCACGTTTTCTTTTTTTTCTCCTCTTTTTTTTGCTGCTGCTGCTGCTGCTTCGTCGTTGGTAAACCATTCCCATTTTTGAAATGTGATTTATGCACGTGCGCGCGCGCGGGTACGTTTTCGTTTTTACCTCGCGCGCGTGCACTGCGACGCGCGAATCGCGTATAGTAGTAGACAGCGGTAGCATACCTGTACTCCAAATCGGTTCGAGGTGCATAAAATTTTCGAGAAATAATCCGATGAGTGTCTTGCGATATAACGAAAGGATCGTATCAAATGTTCGTAGTCACTTCGCCAATGAAAATGAAATTTCTGCAGCGTAGTGACTGCATATGATATTTTAAAAAATTATTGAACTGCGTTTCGACTTTTACACTTTTTTTTGAATTTACCACTTGCAGATTGACAGAAATGAAGGTACTCGCCAGATTGTCTGATATTTTAAAAAATTATTGAACTGTGCTTCGACTTATACACTTTTTTTGAATTTACCACTTGCAGATTGACAGAAATGAAGGTACTCGCCATCTAGTAGTGAACACTCAAAGTTATATCATCGCGTTTAAAATGATAGAAACTGATCTAAACTAACGAATTTAACGAACAGTTAAATTGTTGTTTTTAGGTTCATAATTGCGAGAGAAAAATGGCAAATTAATGGTAATGTACTCTTTACAGACGCTGGTCATGTTTTCAACGCGCAAGATGTAAGAGATATACAAATGTTGCAGAACAAAAATATGAAACTTAAAGAACTTATCAAATGAAAGTTTTGATCGTAAACAGATCAATTGAGCGAGTGACGAGTAATCGTGTGTCAAAGCACGAACCCCAATGCGAGTGAAAATTCGATGATTAATGTCGAGCTTCACCTCACACGTACATGGCAAAATATCGCATATATTTCCTATATATACTCATGCAAGATCAGTATAGCATAAGTATATAAGTATATATGAACCTGTCTCGCGTCGGCTGGATCCGCGCGTACATAATATTTCGCGCTTCGTCCACGGTACTCGCGAGCAGTACATCGAGCTTTGGGGCGGTTATACGTTAGGAGTCTCTCACATTATTGTACCATAAAGTCTTCGTTATATCTATACACATAGCGTACGATGCAGCGCGAGACGACTCGCGCATAAGTTAATGAAAACTTGCGGTCTAATATTTTATGCTCTCTGCTAGATATTATGATGTGCCGCTGCTGCTGTCGCTGCGAACTGTTTTATAACGTGTATATCTCGCTAAGCTCGCGGACACTTTACGCAGAACGAATCGTCGCGCGAGAAACGACCGAAAAAAAAGCACCGCGCGAGAAACGACCGAAAAAAAAGCACCGCGCGATTTTTTTTCTCTCGCAATGCGATTTTCCAGCGTTTCGCGGAACTTTTAACGTCTCTCGGAGCTCTCGAGGCGGCGAGACGAGAAATTTCATTTATATATATTTTTTTCATAACGTTACATTCCACGCGGCGTAACGGCGGGCTTCGATATCCTTGCGTCAAACTTACTTACCGCGCGGGCCACTTTTACCTTTGATAAATCAGAATCCCGCGCTCTTTAGGAATTTCTAATAATAAACAGCACTCGAACGCGGATCGAGAGTCCAACATTTTATACCGTGTTGAGCGCACAAAACATATACACGCAACAGCGCAGCTTATGCGCAGAGTAGAAGGAAGAGGAGGAGGAACAGGAGGAAATGGAACGAGATTTTCGGTGAAAATTTCAAGGATATAACTTTTGATTGACATTCCGCATCGAGAGCGCACCACCTCTACAGCTTTGGCGAGCATATATATACACGTAAATATGCATGTGTATTTGCACGTTTATACCGCATAACGTCGAGAGCAGAAACTCTGATACTTTACGTCAAGCCGCGCAGTTGTGCACTATCTCTCGGCCCCCCAATTCCCGTCTTTCGCTCTCTCTCTATCTCTCTCTTTCTGCGCATTGACGTTAACGCTATTATACACCGTGCGATATATGATGGGTCAGATATTAGTGTGATTCTGCGTCGGTGCACGCGTATTATACATACGACGACGTTATACACTTTTGGAACTCCATTAAAAGCCGCCGCGCATCTCTGCACTGCGGCGCTGCTGCACGACTGTCCGACATAACACGGACTTGTACTACTACTACTTCTTCTTCTTCTTCTTGAACTTTCTTTTTCGGGGACAAAAAAATGCTTAGCCCCGCAGTTACATCGGCCACGACGGCTCGTCGATGATAAAGTACATATAACTCGAGAGCGTATAGATGTAATATGCCATCGAGCACCGCAGTACTGTATACGTACAAGAGGGCCGCGCCGACCCGTTGGCGGGAAATGACGATCGAAATGGACAATCGAGGCAGTACACTCGACTTGTAAAATAGGTTGTGATTATATATAGCTCTGCAGTGCACGTCCACCGGCTTCAATCGCTGTTTGTGCTTGGTACGGTATATATATAGTATACGGTATATGTATATACGTCGCAAGGCACTTTAAGGCGTGCGTTATACGGCAGAAATTGCGCTATACGGCTGTGGCAGGGGAGGGGGCTCGCAAAGTCATTTGTCCCCCGGCGCTCGACGCTCGTCGTGGCAGCTCTCTAGCGCAGTTGTACTCGTTTAATATTGCCTTTTTGGCCCTTTGGTATATAAATCAAAGTGCATAGACCCGACGTAGGTATATATAACGAAAAAATATGCCGGATAAAAAATTTATGTATCGTATGCGTATTCGTGTGTGTACGTAAGCGAAAAGGACTCGAAATGTTCGTTACGTATACACACGTACGTATGTATAAACGCGCAGAGTCGTCGTCGAGCGATTAATGTTCTTGTCTAAATGTGACCTAGTTGTCGACGCGGCCACACACACACACACACACACACTCTGCTGCGTACGTATTTAGAAGACACAAAAACACGCTGCGTCGACGAGCGCGATTGCGAATTAACTCGAGCTTGCGCCGCGCGCATCGTAAACCGCGATATCTTATCAATTAAGCATACATTTTCCATCGGGCGCTCGCAAGTGTATACGTAATATGAAAATTTCGAGCTTACGTACTGAAAACGCTATGCTCGGTAACGTAAATGCTCAATATCAATAATGGCTTGGTGACCAAAAAAAGGTCATTTAAAATGTTTCAAAATACATAAACATTAATTGGCTTGTTTTTGACAATTTTTTTGTTAAAATAATTATAAGTGCATTTTAAATTATCCGATGAAACGACAAAGTAATTATTTCAAAAAAACTAAACCAGTTTAATCACTACGAATTCGATAATATTACTTTGAGCTTTCACCACTAGATGGCGAGTACTTGTATCTATAAATCTGCAAGCGCCAAAGTAAAAATAATTGTATAAATCAAAGCGCGGTTTCGCATCAATAATGTGCTGATAATCGTTCATTCATTTACTCGTAGGGCTACGATAATTTTAAACCTAAAACCAGGTTTTTGGATATTAAAACTGTCATTTGTGACGAATGCGGCATAATTGGATTCATTTCTACGAAAAAACACGAATTGAAACATCCGTTTTTCATGTAAGCGCAAACGAATTTCAAACTAATAAAAGTTCACTCGATCCATTATTTCGGTCCCAGCAGCCCACGCTCGGACGAGGTTTTATTTTCATGCACCTATCATGCATAAAATTATGAACTGCGCGAGCGAAAAGTAACGATATATAGATTCGGGAAAGGGGGGTCCGAGCGCGCGCGCGCGAGAGGCCAAATTAAAATAACAAGCTTTTTTCTTTGTTAACAAAAAAAGCCATAATACGCGGACTGCTTTGAGTTTCTGATGTTTTTAAATTACACTAATTGGTGTATATTCAGTTTTTCAACTCGCGCCCGCGTGAGCGTATATATATACGTAATGCACGTAACGTACTCGTGCGCCGTTATTATAATTCGGACAAAATATTCGAGTAGAATTACCTCGGCGAAACAGTACGCGCACCTGTATATATAACTTTGCTTTTGCAAATAAACTTTTATATACTTTTGTTAAAAATAAACAAACAAAAAAAGCAGGAGAAGGATAGAAAAGGGAAAAACTTTTACCGAAAATTGGAAACACGTCTGGGCGTAAAAAACCAGCTGCATGGTCAGAGATGGATACATGGAGCGTGAGAAAAGAAGCTTGTATCCTTCGTGTGTCAATTTTCTGTTATGGCGCATCGAGAGGAAAAAAGGTCTCGTATGCTAGCACGTATGTGTGGGTGTGTGTGTATCTCCCTCTCGCTCGCTCACTCTCGCTGTACGCGCGACAAGAGACGACGTTGCGCAGAAGGAAGAATATACAAGAGAAGACGGAAGAAAATGGCAGCTGATGCGCTTTTCTTTCCTTTGACTCGCGCGGGCACGTATATAGCTCAAGGAAGTAAAGGAATAAAGGTTTTACTGCAGCTTCGATTTCGCCCCCGAATGCTATGAATTTTACATGCGTTTGTTTCCGGGCTTATAGCTTTGTTGCGATTTTTCAGTGCCGCGCCACGTGACGACGGCTAAGCAGGCATAGGGAAAGAAAGAGCTGGAGCCGAAGAAGATGAAAAGCGCACGTATGAGCCGTATTACTGCGAAATGTATTCTTACCTGCTCGACCCACAAGTTCGTTGTCATTATTTGATTTTTCAAGTTCTGAAAGCACGTGAAAATTTCATGAGCATGATTCGAGCTAACAAAATCAGTTACATAGATGAAAGGTGAAAATCATAAAATAATTTGTATACTTACCACATCGATCAGCTGCGACAGCTTGAGCTTGATTTTAACCGTCAGGGCGTCGGTCACGTTGACGACCGGCCTCACGAGTTTGTTGTAGTTCGACAGCAGGTCGTCGTACAGGCGCTTCGCGTCCGGATTTCCCAGGCATCCTGCGACACAGAGAGACAGAGAGAGAGATGGTAAAAAACTTTAATTCTTTTTTTTTTGTTCGGCCTCGTCTCGCGAACTAAGCGCGACGTATATAGGTAGTCGTATACAGCTGCAGTACGACACATCTTCAAAAACTTTTGCAAGCTCGGCGCATTTAGGACGTTGTGTGTCGCCCGCGCGCCTTTCTGTCCCTCGCGCCGTCTGATAAACGATCGGCACTAAATATAACTATCGAGAGAATGTTTAACTTTGTTGGTTGGCTTTTCTCCATCGCTGTCTCACTCTTAGTTTTTGTTTCGATATCTTTGTGCGTCCCGTCGATCGAGATAAGCGATCGAGTTTTCGAAATTCATCATACGAATCGGATGTGCGCAAAACAAATCTTTCACTCCAGCTTCAAGCTGGAAAGAGATCGAGTCGATCGAATGATTATATTTTGCAGTATTTAGTGCGCCAACTCGACTCGTCATTATTTACGTGGGAAATAAGCGGGGATATAAGTTTATTTGTGATGCAACTGCAACTGTGCTTTTGACTTATATAATTGATTTTACTTAGCCACTTGCAGATTTACAGATAAAGATACTCGCCATCTAGTGGCGAAGGCCTAAGTGGCATTATCGTACTTACTGTAGTGGACGACTGATCAAAATTTTTTAAACAATTAAATTGTCACTTTTTGGTAATTTAAAATGCCCTTAATATTTATAAGATGATTTTAACAGAAAAATTGGCAAAAACAACCCTATTAATACTAATGTATTTTAAAAAATAAGATAATTATTAATGTTGAGTATTACTTATACCGGGGACAACTCTCGATATAATGTTAACGACGATGAAATAATCTACAACAAAATCACCTCGTCGATATACGTACGATAAATATCGCGTACCTATACAGATGTTACTATACGCGATTTGGGCTGCACATTTACCACGGTACACCGTTATACACGATTGTGTGTACGCGTATTCGTGTTATAGTCGCTGCGAACAACTAATGATGTTTACACGGACAAGGAGAGGGTATGTATACACGTCAAAGAGCTACGGCGACGACGACGCCGCCGACGACGACGACGACGATAATGGAATATACGAACAAGCTCGAGAGCATTCGAGCCCCAGCTATTGTTGCAACATCATCGCACGCCCTGGTCCTGCTCTCGCGTACACACCGCCCCTGCATCCATACACACACACACATACATAAACGCGAACGCGACACATTTGGATTGCGCACTTGTAAGTTCGTTATATTGTTCGGCTGCTGCTGTTGCTCATGCCATTGAGCTTGCGTGAGTGTGTGTGTGTGTGTGCATTCGGGTACGCGCGCGGCACGGGAGCTTGCACGAGCGAGAGTTTATAAACGATACACGCGAATTCGCAAGAGCGAAATAATTCCAAGAGTCGGGCTCTGCACATAGCATCTCTCATTTATTGTTTATGCCGTGCGTGTATATAAGATATACATGCACCTCGCGCGCGCGCGTCGAAGCGTTGCGTACAATATCCCACGTGTGTGTGTTCGCGTATAATTATTACACGAATTTTCGCGGCTATAAAGCGCGTTCTTCGCTCCCGTATATTCCATATACGCGATACGTAATAATGAAACGGCTCGCGAGAGAGCCTCGAAACCGAAAAGGATCTTTGTATATGTACATTATATTACAACGGAGATTCGAATAATTTTCACGGTGTAAGCGTCTACGTGTGTACAGCGCGCAGGAGCTTTTCTCTCTCTCGTATTACAGCGTATATAAACTTGGAGAATTGTCCAAAAACAAACGCCCGACGTACGCCGAGCATTTCTATATATCTCCTTATATACACACGCTTAATATTCGTCAGGTTGACTCTCTCTCTCTGTCGGAGCTTGCAGCAGCCAATTCAGCGCTTACAGCATATACGGCAGTGCGCCGTACATAGCCCACGTTAGCAGCGTTATAACAATAATAATAATAATAATAATAATAATAATAATAGTAATAGTAATAATAATCTAGGCTGCCGCTTGTTGTAGCTATGTGTGCGCATTCTCTGCACATATATATACCCCGAATATCATCGTAAAGTCCAGTTTTACGCGTTCTCGCACAGGCGTGCCCGCGCGCGCGTATACCTATACACGCGTGTATACATATAAGACCGCTTTAAAACGCCAACTAACGTAACGGACGGCTCATCCCTCCGTATTAGGTATATCGCCGGCTGCACCAGGCACACGAGGGCTTTTAATACGCGCGCAAAGACCCACACCTGTATATACATAAGCTTCATACGTGTCTAATTCATATACACTAGACACGATCGAGCACGTCTTCGAGACGTTTATCTTATACGCGTTTGTTATTCTCGAGGCGCACGTCTCTCTCGGCAGAGATGCGAAAAATCTATCGATAAACGCGCCACCCCCCGCCGCCGACTTGGATTTCAATTTTCATTAGACGAAAGAGAAGAGAGAGAGAAGAAAAAAAGCTCATTCTCGCTCTCTAGCGCGCTACTTGAGTAATGGTTATTAACCTTGATTGTTGCCAGATATGAGGACCAAGACGATCCACATGATCCCCACCAGGCTCTTCATCGTGTCATTGCGACGTCACGTTCGCCTCATTTCTCCGACCGGGACCTCGGCGGCAGCCACTCTTCTCTTCGCGTCGTCGGCGGCGCTTGCAGTGCCGCTGCAAGCTGCTCGTCGCGTCGTCACCTACTCCTTCTTCTTCTTCGTCGTCGTCGTCGTCGTCGTCTTTGGCTTCTTCTTCTTCTTCTTCTTCGTCGTCTGCTTTATATATTATGGAAGGCAGCTGCTGTGTTGCTGCTGGTGACGGAGAGATGACGACTTTTCAACGGACGCCGACTGAAAAATGATTAATTTCACTTTAGAGCTTATATAAGTTAATATACGTGCGGCTTTCATGAATGTATATAGTTTGATATTCTACGAATGTCTATTTTATCGTTCATATACGTAACGTGCGAGGAATATTAAATCGAGAGTCAATAATATTTTTATACAGAACGAACTAATTGCTAGCTAGAATTCAATTCGCTTTTTATATCATCTTGTCGGCTCTAATGACTACCGATAAGCTGCTTTTATTAATTAAATTCAATGAGTTCCGCATGAATTCATATCAACCTTTTCAGGGGGAGAAAAATTAATTGATTCGAAAAGGCACACGTCGATGCATTATTATAAAGATGCTCGCTGCTTTGACGATCGAGCCCAAGCGCAATAAACGGCTAATCGCTTCATTATAAATCCGACCGTGTTGAGCGTTTAACGATGAGCGCTAGACCTGCATCACCGGCGTATTATATCAGGAGCACGCCCGCGCCCTATACGCGCCGTTAAACGTGGCTATGGTATAGACTTTTATCTTTCTACCCCTTAAAACGTTTAAATTTCTGCGTCATACCCTAGCCGGTGGCGGCTCTCCGAGCCCAGGGAGAAAAATTTTTTCCAACCTTTTTGCCTTTTTTTTTTTTTTTTATTGTCCCCCAAGCCCAGCGAGAGTTAAGTTCGAAGCTCGATTTTTTACGATCGCAGCCACTTGATACCGGAGGATAGTAAAAAAAAGAGCCAGCGTAGCACATTCGAGAGTTTATATCATTTATAGGTGAGATATTTAATATATATCCATCGTACACACAGAGATATGTGTCGCGTGCGCGCCACGTGAAATCGTAAAAAAATTGATCGTATATGCGTTTGTTTATCGGCGAGCTGCAAAAGATTGCTCGCAGAATAAGAGTCCCGCGTATCGAGATGCATATGAGTCGCGAGAAAATGAAATACTGATAATAACGATAATTACAACGACAAACGTAAAATACGAGTTTATTCTCGACCACGGTGCCGAATGTCAATATGATTAATTAACTTTAATTTTTCACGCCTGAAATCGTCGCCGTCTTCGCGAGAAGAACAATATTAATAGGGTTCGATCGATCCTTTTTCTCGCAATCAGGGTGCGAGAAGTATACGTACTGTACTAACGTATCGGTACGTCTGGAAGCAATTTTTGAAAAATATCAGTAAAACGAAGAAAGAATAAGGTCGGGCATGCGTGATTTCCGCGCGAACGATCGACTCGAGAGAGCAGCGAGTTTATATACATGCGAGCGAGCGCGCGCGGAACGATTGATATACGCGAATTATGCGAAAGTAGCTCATGAATTTTACGCCGTATATATAACGTATATATATCGACGTATACGAACGAATCAATTCGACAGGAAAAAAAGAGTAAATAAAAAAAAAAGGGAGAGAAAAAAATAGAGAGCAATCTTCTATGCGCAGTGCGCCACGAGGGGCGAAATTAACAGAAAATCCAACATTTCCCAACGTAATCCGTCGGTAAGAGAGCGCGAGGGGTAAAAAAAAATGAGAAAGAAAGGATAGCATTAGAATGTCGTTGTACCGTAACGATCGGCATTAAAGTCTCAATTTATCGGTTCTTCTCTCGGGTCGCAAAACACTTCTTTCTCTCCCTTCTCTCTTTTTTCTTCCATCGCGCTGTTGCGAGCGAGAGCTCGTCGTCGTCGTCGTCGTTTCGTTGCTTCGACGTCCTATGTAGCGTCGTTTGTCCCACTGATTTTCTCCTATTATTTTCTCGCTCTCGCGCTGCTGTGTACTTCCTTTTTCTTTTCTTTTTTTTTTTTTTTTTTGCTTTACGTACGCGCGCATGTACTAGAACACATACGCGCGCGCGCGCGCGCGTGTGTCCGTCTGTCTACGTATTTGTCAATCGATTTAGGGAGGAGGGAGGGCAAACGATACTTTACGATTAGTCGAATGAATTTGAAAAAAAAAATATTATGTAGTTGTATAAAGGGTTTTTATGCTTTTTCATAAATAAAGCACAAAAAATTGAAATCAAAGTAAACGAATTGACGAATACAATTTTTTTTCTTAAATTTATTTAATAACACTAGACATTACAAAAATACTGTACATATGTTCATCGGGCATCGTGAACTTTAGATTGTGATAGCCAAGCAAATATTACATAAATCTTGGTTCATTAGCGTATCGAGGATTAGATCACAGCAGAGAACCGGCAGTCGATAATGTATCAATTGCCAGAAAGGATCCGTTGCCCAGCTCCGGAAAAATCTCCTCGACAACAGCTCGCTCACATACAAAGCACAAGCCTTGGATTGATTTTCGGACAAAATCGACCATATGCTCGATTCCGCTAGCTCGTAGTAGTGCGCAGATGTGAGTAATTTCGACGCCTCGTCGGGTCGTAGCTGTATCAAGTCGTAGAACGACAGACTCGGAGTAACCATTTTCTCTTTGGTCGTTTTTACGAAATAATCATTGCGATGCCAAGATTTTTCAATCAGATCCATCGACTCGGCGAACACTTTTTGTTTGATAAAAAATTTCATGATCGTCAGAGCGTCGCTTCGGTCCAATTCGTATCCTTTTTTCTCGAGAAGTTCGGCAACCATCAGAGCGCCAGATGCCAGTCTCAATCCAAAATTATCTCCCGGAGTACACAGTTCGAACGTCTTGCCGAAGTAACTCTTCGTAGGAAAAACGAAGCTGGACAGATCGGCACCGCGACGTAGAAGCACATCGACCACGTCCGGCTTGATATTCGCCACGGCCCGTTGAAGTGGCGTCCGGCCCTTCTTGTCCCGAGCGTCGACCTTTACCAGCCGCCGTTTTTTGTCGCAGATCTTGAAGAATAGTTCCGCCAAGCCGGGCTGCTCGTCGCTCGTCTTGCTAATCATGTGCAGAGGAGTCGATCCGTCGGCGTTGGCCAAGTTCGGATCGGCACCTCTCCTCAGCAGCAATTCGGCCACCTGCCTGTCTCCGTGAAACAGAGCATAGTGCAGCGGCGACCAGCCCGACTTGTTCTGCATGTTGACTCGTACCGCTTGTTTTTTTTCGTCGTTGATCCCGAAGAACAGTTTCACCAAGCTACGACGACGATCGCGATCGTATCTCGTGCAAATATTGTGCAGCGGAGTCGATCCCGCGTTGTTGGCCCAATTCGGATGGGCATTTCTTTTCAGCAGCAATTCGACGATATCGTCGGAGCTGTGCGACGCGGCGATGTGCAAGGCCGTGTTGCCGTCCTTGTCTCGGCGGCTGACCTCCACCGTCCTCGAAATTGCGTCGCAGGTCTCGAAAAATGCCTTCACGAAGTAATAATCGTCGCGCTCATCGCACACGATGTGCAGAGGCGTCAATCCGTTCATGTTCGGCAGATTGGGATCCGCGCCTCTCCGCAGCAGCAGCTCGGACAGTTTCCGGTTTCTGGCGTTCACGGCGAAGTGCAGCGGCGTGCAGCCGAATCCGTCCTGGGCGCTGACCAGCAAGCCCCGCGGATATCTGTCGCGATCGGTGTGCTCGAACAACGTCCGGGCCAAGTCGGTGGCGGCGTCGCGCTTTACCTTGCTCGCGAAGTGCAGCGGGCTCGAGCCCTTCCAGTTGGCCGCGTTCGGATCGGCGCCGTGCTTCAGCAGTACTTGGGCCAAGTATCGGCGACCTTGACTCAGAGCCCAGTGCAGCGGTGTGTTACCGGACTCGTCCCTGTAGCCGACGCGAGTCACTAGCCTGACGAATCTTCGCGCGGACTCGTCGCGTTCGGCCCAGACACTCGTGGACTCCGATAGTAGACACTCGATATCTTCTTTTGGAAAAATGTCTCGTAGATCCTGATAATCGCCCGTCCAATCGTCCGTCAAAGGAGAAATTTGCTGGAGGAATCTTCGTCGCTCTTCTTGAAACTTCAAATCGACCTTGTCTCGCAGACTCTTTATTTTTGTCCGCAATTCTGTTTGGCTGAGTAGAGCCGCGCGTTTGAAATCACGCGCGTCTATTGCGTCATCCGCCGCATCGCCAACGTCGCGCGAACGCTTGCCACTGGACGCTGGCCCCGAAAGTCCGTCGTTGGATCTGTCATTGGACGCGGACATCGTTCTTCGGCACCGACACAAAAAACACACACAGCACAGCACGCGATATTTTTTATTTATTTATTTTCACTTATCACTCGCTGCGATAGACACGATCTTTCCGCGCATTACGCTACGGAATCGTAACGCGCCACGCGCACGTGTTGGATGCTTTACGCTTTCTATATAATTGATGTACCGAAATTCGGATTATGAACACGCGCATGCGCACAAAGAAGAGAGAGAGAGAGAGAGAGAGAGAGAGAGAGAGGAGACAGATAGAGATACATGACAGTACACAGTCGTCGAGAGCATAGGTCAATGACGGAGCGCAAGAAGCTTCATTTTTTGAATGTTCCTTATTAAAGAATCGAATGAATTCATTGAACTCAGCACGTAAACGCGCGCAAAGAATTTTCGTTGCACATATAGTCGTTGCCGATTACTTTCTCGAATCTTTTTCTGTGTATACACTTGCAGGCAAGTATCGGAGAACTAAAGAAGAAAAGAGAGAGATAGAGAGAGAAAAATCAATCTCGTCATTTCGTAAAAGTACACGGACCGTGTGATTCGGTGCGTGTACTACTACGGCGCGATCTAAACGAAGTTTATTCAACTGAGCAAACTTCTCGACTTGTAAGGCATTTGTAACGATTGATTTTTTTCTTTCCTTCGTCCTCCTCCTCCTCCTCCTGCTCCGCCACGAATGACGTACATATACGTACCTATGCAATTTTTACCCGCGCACGCGAAATCGAACGGGGGAGAGTCGCGTAAAAAATTTAATTCCGAAACTCCGCTGATTTTTAGCAAACGAAGATCGTCGAGCTTCGCATAATAATCAGTTATAATATACAAGGTATGCCGTGGACGGGGGCGCGCGCGCGCTCGGCATGCGTCAAATTTTCCGAGCATCTCCATCATCTCGCCGGAGAGAGAGAGAGAACAGCGGCGGGCTGTATACGGGCAAACAACAGTCCGCGAGTATAGAAGAAGGAGGTGGGGGGGAGGCAATTGTATCGCGCCGCTTATGTATGTACTATTACGGCCTGGCGTGCATAATACAGATATATACAGTTTCCGGGAGAAAAGTCAGCGTTTAAGTGCGGCGGGCTGCGCGCAACTACCCGAAATTCTCCGCCGCTCTCGACGACGTTGTTCTCTCTGTTCGAGTTCTGCACCCCTCCTTCCCCCAGCGCACCGGCAGAGCTTCATCCATCTTTCGGCTCGCATTAAATTCTATATACGTATAGGTGTGTAGTACGTGCAGGTGTGTATGCGCGCGAGTGCCGTCTCGAGCTAGCTCCTCTCGTGCAGCGCATACGCGCACATGCATCCTCTCGCATTCCATGAAAATCTGAGCTAAATGGATAGCTAATGAGACTCGAAGAAGGAAGACGACGACGACTGCTGCGCTTGAAATAATGACTCGTAAAGCAAATGGTCTAATTACTCGCGAAGGGGGTTTACAAAAATGAATGGAGTATAACGACTACTGCTCTAACTCGCCGAGCGAGCTTATCTCTCTTTTATGTATGTACGCGAACAGCACAGTGGTGCACATTATGCATTTTTCGAGTAAATGCTCCGTGGCGGAGGTAGGTAATAAAGTCGAACTCAGGTATAAAAAAAAAAAAGAAGAAAAAGAAGAAAGGAAGTGAAGCGAGCCGCACCTCTACATCGACCGCTTTCAGACCGATCGACACTCGTCGTCGTTGTCGACTACGACGCGACGTTGTCGGACAACGATAACAACAACAATAAATATCATGTCCTCGTGAGACCGTAACCTCTCTCGCGAGTTAACCAATAAAAAATCATAAAAATTTCGCGTTTCGATAATCAAAATTTTCCAGTTGTTGCCCACTACCCGATCACACCCACACAGTAGAGCACGTTTCGAACGAGAAGCTTTTCCAGTCCACGAAGTTGAGGGGAAAATCGATCGCTCGTATCGAGCCGAGTATAGATAAGAGAGAAAGAAAAAATCGGAGAATCCAGCCGACGACGACGACGACGAAGCGAACATGTGCGACATACTGCCCGACTCCGTGCACTCGATACTGAACGACATCGAGACGGGCGCGAGCATACCCTTCCTGCTCATCATCCTGTTCTACACGCTCTACTACGCCTTCCATCACATACGCAACATCATGTGCGTGGTCAAGGACATCTTGCGCAAGCGGGCCTGCAAGAGGCGCAAGTGCCCCAAGAAGCCGCGCTGTCCCAACATCATCGACAAGATCAAAGGTAAATTGCGATGGGCCAGACCCACTTTCCTCGATACAATTAATCACAGTTAAGCTCGAACGGCATCTTTAACGTGTAACGATGAAAAAAAAAGACGCGGTCGTAGGCTTCTTCACGACGTCGGTGCAGTCGCTGCTCGAGAAGGAGGGCAGCCTGTGCTGCAAGCCCAAGAAGAAGCGCAGGTGTCGCAAGGACGACGACGATCTCTGGGACGACGACGGGCAGCTCACGGATATTTACTAGGGGCTTCTGGCTGCGTCTCGCCGCGGGCCTCTGCTGTCGTGGCTTCTTCCCGTCGCTCTGTCTGCTCGCGAAGGCCGTCGGCGCGATGAGGCGCGCTCGCGACCTAATGCTGTATCTCCGATTGATCGAGCCCTGCGATGACTACGACGACTACGACGACGACGACGACGACGGGATCGATTAGCCGAGAGTGCGAGTTGGCGCGTTCGATTGGCGTTCGGCTGTGTATTGATATTGTACGTGTATTCGTTTGGTTCAAAACTGGCGTGAGGGGCATTTATACGAAAAGCCCAAATTCCCGTGCGAGCGTGAAAACGTAATTTGTTCTTTAACACATTTTCGTCCTATGTTCAAAAATTGGATTTTTCAATAATTGATTTTAAATTAAAGAGTGAGAATGTCATGAAAAAAAAAAAACGTTAATTTTATTGAAAAATGTTACGTTAAAGTGATACATATTTAAACGTGTGTATGCGCGCGCGCGAGTCAGAAATTTACATCACTGAAATTTTTTATCACCGACAGAGATCAAAGTGGCCTCTCGATCTCTTCCCAATGGGAGCTGCAAGCACAGGCGCGCGCGCGCATTGATTGCTCGCTCGCAAAAGTGCCCTTAGCATAAAAAAAAAGGTCTAGTGACACTGTATAAAAGCAGCGTAATCAAAGCTCTTCTCTGTAAAAAATTACAGAAAGAAGCTCTACCTCTCCCTCTTTATCTACATAGATAGCGAAGCCGAGTTCCGCTGAGTGGCAGGCACTTATTGTTATCGGATATTAACGTGTACGTGGGTGTGTGTGTGTGTATGTGTGTAGGTGGAAAATGGAGAGAAAGACCTGAAAGAGAGAAAGATCGAGGTTGGAGAGAGGAGGGGGGTAGTAGCAGGCAGTGAAATGCCAATATCCGTTAATGCACGCGTTGTGTGTGTGTACGCATGAATTTTTTTCTCTCTCTCCCCGACTCGTGTGCACTTTTATATATGTCTGCGGCTGCAGCTGCAGCAGCAGCAGCACGACGGATATAGACGAGGGAAAAGAGCACAGAGGCCGAGCAACTCGAACAAAAAAAAAACAAGAACGAAGAAGTTTATTAAAACTTTTGGAAAATTTTCGGATTATTGCACTTTTCGTTGGGGCGGCTGAACGATTCGAGTGGAAAATTCGTCTGCGGCTAGAAGATATGAATTTTTTTTCTCGTTCGTGCTCTCGTTGCTCGTTCGCTGATCGTTTGCGGGGCTCATCAAGTCTGCGTTGTGTAATACTGGGATAATCAGCAGCCGGTTCGCTTCTGCTGCTGCTGCTGCTTCTGCTGCTACCGCTGAACATGTAATGCGCGGTAAGTAATTTATATACGCGCTATCGTCTCGGATTAATGAAATTTTGCAGAGTAATAATAAAAAAAAAAAAAAATTAAATAAAAATAAACGTTGTTTATGGCCCACGAGAATTTCGCTGATAATTTTTGGGAAAATATATATACGTAAAACGATTATAAATTTTCGCCGCGCGCACGCAAGCTCCAGCGAGCGAGTGAAAATTCCCCTGTATACTCTACGACGCGATTACGCAGGGCAGTTTTCGCTTCGGTATCTTCATTCGCGACTGTTTTTAAAAAACTTTGCAATTCTCGGCACGTTTTAACGTTTGAATTTTCATATACTTACACGGCCACCCTCTCTTTTCACGTGTACGTACTTACGTACACACGTATTTGCCGAAAGAGAACTCGTAAGTTTTCAAAGTAGTAACTTCTTTCTCTCCTTTTTTTTTCGAATGCACCGGAGAACATTAAAATAAATCGCTTTCAAAGTGCACGCAAAACTTCCTTTAGGATTCCGCTCTTTATTAATTAAAAGCGCGTTTTTGCCTCGCGACTGCGACTACGACGACGATTCAATCTGTTGCTCTGCTTATAAATGCGCGCGCGTTGCTCTCTGGCGCGTGTTTTATCCGATGCTGCAGCTATATATATGCACGGGGGCCCGAGATTTGCGATATGAAGTTAGTTTATAGAAGGCAACTTTTGCGAAAACTCCACTCGGCATCGGAGAGAGAGAGATCGAGTATTTGCGCTCCGCATGTGTATAGTATAAACTCGAGGCTGCATATAGTATATTAAGCCTTGACGCGAGATAAGCTCGCGATGGGCCGATGGAAATTTCGGAGCTTTAATTATGGCCTCTCATCCGCCACCACCACTAGCACCACCGCGTTAGATATTTTAATTATTCGGATCGAAAAATAATAAATCGCTCAATTGCCGTTCACACGGGGCTTTGTACGACGTTACACGCACCGTCGTCGGCAACAGCGGCAGCAGCAGGTGGCGTTATAGTATATATACGTGTAATAAAGCTCGATGTTTGCATAATGGTATCGGACGCGCATCGATATATTAACGAGCGATATCGCGCGTCGCTCGCTCGGTGGTCGTTCGTTGCGCGTCGCTCGCTTATACTCTCGGGTTTTTCGAATTTAATATTGCGCTGTGTGCGCGCGAGCCCCGGGGTCTACGTCATTGTGCATATACATACCTGTGTTGTGCGTGCGCGCAACGGCTTTTAATTACAATAACGACTTCGACGCGGCTAAGGCATTATTAAATTCGTGAATTACAACTTTAACGGCTCTCTTTCCTTTACTTCGGTCTTTTTTCTCTTTCGCTCTCTTTCTACGACCCCGCATAAAGCGACGCAGCAGTAGCAGCGGTATAGCCTCGATACAGCCAAACTTTCCACGTGCATGTGCAATAGTGTATATACCGAGGAGTACGAGTGTGATATACATTGGCGAATTCGCGTGTGTGTAGTACCTATGTGCAGCTGAATTGGAAATTTCGGAGTTGAAAGTGCAACGGTGCAGCGGGCAGTAGTGGTGCTCGCGCGAGCCACTGCGCGAGTTATGTAATTGTTGCGCTCGTATATTTACGAGAGAGTCGCTGCAGTCGGCATTATATACCAGCATCTCCGCTTATATAGTGTACGTGCGGGATGTTCATTTATATAGTACGGTGTGCGAGCACGCGAAAACGTGATAACTGATTTCTTTTTTTTTCGTTTTTGTTTTTTTTTTTAATTCAGCTGTACGTAGTTCTACGCGTCGACGCATAGATCGGTTCGGTTTTAACGATGTACCATCATCGAGGAAAAAATTACGTTTTTATTTGTCGTTGTAATTGTTCGCGCCGATTGGTCAACCGTAAAAATTCGAGTGCGTAAACAAAATCAATCCCTCGAGAGTAGATTGGAAAACAAAAAAAAGGTGACCATTTTGATCTCTCGCCTTAGTGTAATACTGATGGAAAATAGGGAGCGCGAAAGTTGGGCGTCAGACAAAATTTTCGTGTCTCGCGCCAGGTTTTGCACGAGGTGCACAGCCGAGCATAAATAAAGAGCAAGTTAAAACCATTCCTGCGCGTTTACGGGAATTTTTTGAGCCTCTTTGCGCGCGCGCTGTTATTACGTCGAGTTTCGTCTTTCTTTTCTTTTCTCATAAAAAAGTTTGCATGACATTTAAAAACGCACGATTTAAATTGTATTTCACTTTATTTACACTTTCATCTTCATTTTTTAAAATATAATATGTAAAAAGGTCGACGACAAGGACGAACGAGCGAGACTGCACAAAAAAAAAATATCAATTTCTTCTTCGAGAGCAGCAGCAGCAGCAGCGGCACGTGTACCTATGTACGTATACGCGTTTACGTATATCGAATGAAATAACGCCGATTTCAATTCGACTTGCATACGTATGTGTACACGTGCGCGTCATGTCGAGAGAGAGAGAGAGAGAGTATATAAGGCAGGAATTTAATTCGATGCCTGGCGCGTTCACTTGCATACGGTGTGCAGTAAAAACGTGCAGCGCGCGCGGGGGAGAGAAAAAAATTCCAGATCACCCCCCACGCGTATACACACGTGTAAGATATTTCATTTTCTAGCGTGGTACAGTCCCACGTATAGGTATGTGCGCGAAAAAAAAGTGTACGTGTAAATGGTGTGCAAGAGAGCAGCGAGCGAGAGATGAAAAAAAAAAGGTCACTCCGAATAGCGGAGAACAAAACCGGGCGACGTACAGCAGCGATCGTCTTGTTTCTGCTATTGTAATATATCGATCCCAGAAATATCATGTACGGTTATGGGCGAGCTAATTCGTGTGTATGATTATAGGTATATATATCGTAGCGCGACATTTTCAAAAAATATATATCGATACGCTCGAATTGTGAAAGGTGAACGTACGGCACAGAGACGCGACGGCGAGATTAGAGTCCCACCGCTCATGGGTGATTCCCCCACTATCGTGTAAAAAAAAAGAGCGATACCGTTTTTTTGTGTGTACGATTCACACCCATATGTGAGTATTCGTACATTTTGATAATTCAGCGAGCTTAATGCGAATGGCCTTGAATATACAGTCAGCCAGTATGATTTCGAGCACTCACAATCTGGCTCGGGTCGCGTGTGTATAATGCCGTTTCGGACGCTTATAGATAATAAAACTTGCGTCGGTCACGACGCATCGATCGCCTGAATCGTTGGTCATACTTTGTGTCGTTATTTTTTTTGGTGCGTGTAAACAATAATTGGTGTGTGTATAAAATGGTAGGACTCAAAAAATTCGAAGAATTGTCGAAAGAATTGACGAAAGAATTGGACGCAATAAAAGAATCGCCACCGCCGACGATCTCGATCTACGATATGTGGAAGCTGGAGCGCTTTCGCTACCGCGAAAAGCAAGTGGGCAAAGCTCTGAGCTTGCCCGTAAAAGATATGCCCGTGCAGGTACAGCTGAAATTTTTTCCCCGCGGCCGAGTCGACGGCAGCCTGCGCAGCTCGATCATGCTCGAGTATCCGGAAATCTGTTACTTGAGAAACGTCTTCGAGGTCGATGTGACCCTGCGGATCTTGAAGCACCGTAAGGTTCGTCAGGAGTTCAGGAAGAGCTTCGTCACGCTCGGGCGTCGCCAGGAAAATTACTGGTGGCTGGACCTCTACGAGATAGCCCAAGAGCGCGACTTGACGTGCGACGAGGACGGCAGCTTGACGATCGACTGCCTGGTGACCGTCGATCCAGCCTCGGCCAAGCGCCAGGATCGCGAGAATCCGTTCGAGTTCGCCGAGGAGGACGACGAGCGCCGCTACGACTTCTATCGCCGGCTCTGGGGCACCGAACAGTTCAACGACTGCGTCGTCATGACGCTCGGCGGACTGGTGATACCCGCGCACAAGATCGTGCTGGCCGCGGCGAGTCCCGTGCTCGAGGCCTTGTTCAAGAAGAAGCACAAAAGGATGTACAATTTGCGCATCTACGAGGCTGGCAAGGAGGCCGTGGTGCAGCTGCTGTTCTACGCCTACACGGGTCGGCTGAAGCTCTGCAACGACGTGAGGACGCTGGTCGAGCTGCTCACCCTGGCCCACGCCTACGGGGTCAAGGGTCTGAAGCTCGCGTGCCAGAGGAGGCTGATCGAGCACATGGACGTGGACAACTGCGTGGATATTTTGCGGGCGTGCGCGAGGCCCGACACCGAGCTACTGAAGAACGCGGCGCTCGATTTCTTCGTGAAAAATGTGAGGCATCTACGAGGCCGTTTGAAAGAGATAAAAGATCACGATTTGTACGTGGCTGTCATCAATAAGATGTTTTGAATCATAATTTTTTTATACGCTTGTAGATATTCATTCGTAATCTCTTCTGTAAATAATCAATTGTAAATATGTACAACTCTTAATTATATTTACTCGTATTTAATTATAAATCCATAAGAATAAATATTAACAAATTTACGACACCTTTAAATATGTATCTTTGTTTTCATTCAACCTGCCTCTCATTGAATAATTTTTTTCGGAGCAAAATTAAATAAACACCGTTGCTCGAACTAATCGTCATCATCATCGTCATTCATAATTTAAAAAAAAGTATCACAATGAACCTGAAATCCTGTCAAAAATCGTATGCTCCACACGTGTATATTATATAACAGAATACATTCGAACGGTATCCGCGTCGCCGCGCTCGTCATCGCAAAAGTGGCCTCTTCCCTGCCGCACGTACACACATACACACGAGGCACACATACTAGGATATAACAGAGCGCCGAGCAGCGCGTGATCGGCACAGTAGTGGCGGCGGCGGCGTTGGTGGCAGCGCGCGAGCGCGTCTCTCGAGGATTGAGAAGAAAATTCAATTATTCGATATCGTCGACAGAGTGAACGGCTCAACGGCTCGTTTCTATATATAGTTATATATATGTAGGATTCGCGACGCTGTGCACAATGTATAAGCAACGACGTGGCCTATTGGAAAATGTACATATATATGTATATTCTTAACGTATATATACACCACACATAGTGTTCGGAGTACCGCACATACTGCGGATCTCTCTCTCTCTCTCTCTCTCTCTCGCTCGCGCGGCGCGTCAGTCTGTGCTGCGGGAGCAATGCGCACATACGTATATATATACCTATGCACTATACGCGCGCGGGGGTGTAAAGCTTTGAAGTGGCACGGGCACGCGCGCGCGCACGGGATTCATTTCTCCTGATCGTCGTTTATATACTCTGATCCAAGAATGTAATGGGTTATTGGGAAATCGAGTGTTCCAATTGCTTTTCTTTACCTTCGTACAGACGTTTTTTCCCCTTGTTCGAACAAATGCCATGACACGATGTCTGTATATGTGTGCGCGTGTGTGTGTATGTGTGTGTGGGCGCACTCGCACTCCCTCGGCCAACCATACTTATATATAGTACGCGACCATAGGTAAAAAATTTTAATTGCGAAATATTCACTTACCGATCGAGTATGCTTTCGTACGTCCTTGTCCATCAGCGCACGCGAGATTGAATCGAATGGATGATAGTTATGACGATATGACAATGCTTCTCGATTATTATAGCGAGCGATTTTATATTTTATATTCTGTAATTTGTAAGAAGATGATCAGGGACTGATGACAGGAAGACAACGAGACATACATTAGCAATGGAAAATTGAATTTCCGAAATGTTGCTGCTTCCTAGTTCTCAAAGTAAATTTTCTTCTCAGTGGAGGAAGAATTAATTAAGAGGATTAGTTAAATTGCAAATATGTATCTACCAAATGTATAAGCATTCGCGTGATGCTATTGATAAATATTCATTAAAATAACACAAAAATAAATAATACGAGAAATCGGAAGTGAAACATCCGCTACAAAGAGACTCTTTTCAAAAAGCAATCGACCATTTTCTTTCAAACAAAGTTTAATTTAATTTTCTACATTATTTTAGTTCGATCGTAAGTAATTTCAATTAATTGCCTCCAATATCAATATAAACTCGTCTGATTGTTGATTTTACACGATCCGTTCGTCCAGTTTCTCTCTATCTCTCTCTCGGTTTACATTGCTCACGAACTCGCGTAAACATTGTGTCTCTCGCTCATGTACTCGACACAGATGAATATATTATCACACAAAACATACAAAGTATCTCGAAACTAACCGCGAGAAAATCGGACTATCGATTATCGTATACACGATTCGCAGTATCGTTCGCGCTATACATATAATTGAATCCGGAGCATCGCGCGAACGATCCGCGAAAGGAGCTCCGCCGTAAGAATATTATTACGGCGACTTATTTCTCGAATTCACGCCGATCGCGCGCGTATATATGCACGAGGGCTTGTGCGATGTGTACGACGCGCGATATTCCTGATACGTACTCAGATTGCACCAGAGGCCCCCGCAGAGATGAGCTTGCATAATGTAACGCACATTACGAAGCGTCGCCTCTGCGCGCGTATGTATATCGGGGCAATTCGTGCTTACATTATTTACGCTTTTAATACGTGCAAAAGCTGTAGCTGCTATACGTGCATACCTGCTTGCGACGTGTATGACGCATCGCCGATATTCGCGCGTGAATTTCATTTTATTTTATTTTATCGCTCGATCGATCGAGCGCGGTATACGAAATTTACGAGGAGTAAGGCCTAAGTGGCTTCGAGGTGCACCATCATCCGCATTTTTTTACAATAATACATAGCTTATTTCGAGCGGGCTTCGTGTAACATAGAATCATTTTTCCGTAATAATACGAGCTTACGATAAATTGTCAACAGAGCCCTTAATTTTCTCAGCGAGGCTTGTCATCGTCTTTACTTTCTTTTTCATCGCTTGAAATTCCATTCGAACTCGTTGTCACACGGATCCTGCAGCGCGTAGTGCAGCCATCGTGTATAGATATACGATGTAAAACGACGCAATTCATTCTTTCCCTGTAACCGGATGAGTCAAAAAGAAGCTCCTCTCGTCCTCAAAATCACGCGGACAATTTTTCTGTAACGACTCGTTGGAATCGTATTTAGCCGCAGGGCTCGAACTGTATGTACAGCGTAGATCGTGGCTGTTCTAGGCGCGCGCGCGCGCGCGAGCTGTGAAATGCAATTGTCGTACACGCCAACAAATTGAAACGCGAAATGTATACACGCCACGTACATTGATTCTTTTGTCTGGGCGGAGAGACTGATGAAGATATCGCGTTACATCGACGTTCATAACTCCATTGTTTCAATTCCACGGCATGATCGCGGATACGTTTTCAGGCTGAATACCGTTCAATGTAATACACATGCATCTCTTCGCACTCATAGATATATCTTTTTGTTGTTGCATTTTATTTTCAACGTCTCTTTCGTGCATCGGAAAATAAAAGGGCCATCGCGTGCGACATACACAGGCGCACTGCGGAACAAATATTATAAATAATATTTCGTACACGCGTATAGCGTATATATAAAAGCTCGATTTTGAAAATGATTCGCAATCGGGTGCAAAAGTTTCGATGCTTATGAATACACAGAGACAGATAGGAAGAGACAACTGGATGGAGAGCGAGAGAAACGGTCGGATTCATCGAAACGATTGTTTCGATTCTGAGCAATACGATACTCGCGCGTGCGATATTCGTACACGTACACACGCAGTGGTGTGTAGCTTTTGACAGGTTCGAGATTTCGTTGGCGCTGTTTTTCTGCTACGATGATTCGTGGCCAAGCCACGAAGCACGGGGATTAACTAGAACGAAAATAATTCGACGAGTATGATAAAAGACGTGGTTTTATAGCGAGATAGAATAGAGCGAGTGTTGCTGTGTCCATTGTTTTGTTTATGAATATGAGTACCAATTCACAGTTTTCAAACTGTGAAGTGAAAATCACAAACTCGTAAGGTCATCAATCATATATACCAATCGGAAACTTTTTTGCCACTTGTGAGTTTACAACAATCCATCTATTGATGAAATCACTAAGCTTGCATATTATCAGATATGACACACCTTCAACTAAGATAAATCTTGTTCCAATACAAACCAAATATTGGAATGTTAATTCTTAAATTTCCCTTTCAAAAGCACACTTCGAGTATAGATTAATATTGTTTTTACGTGCATTATTATCAATATTCGTTTCATATATGCTAGGGGGCACTCATTTCCCAAGTTACTTGGAATCCCGCTCCCTGGCTTTTGATCGATAGTTAGTAACCATAATGGCCTCAAGCGAGAATTTTAAAAATCACTCAAATATCCTTGATTCAATAAAATTGAAATAAAAATTTACTTTGATGTTTAGTAATAAGATGCTACTGAGGTCCAAAGCCTACTATTACTGCGCTCGCTCGGGTTTTACGAATTAACTATCCCTTTAAGCGACTTATACAAAAACCAGTTCAAAATATTCAGAAGTTATTCGCGTTTTCCTCGCATTATACGATATTATATTACTATAGTGAAGAAAAACATGCGTCTGAACGTGAGGAAAACAGGCAGCGCCACCCCCTTGACACACACACACATACACACATTCATTGCAGGGCCAAAGCCTTTATAGAAAACAGATGCAGACGCGTGTATATATAATAATACATGTAAAAGCGCAATGTATGCTATACCAGTGGCCTACACTCCGTCGCCTGCTGCTGCTATACGTGTGTACAGTATTTGTGAGGGCGCGCGAGAGAAACGAGTGTTTATTATAAAGTGCGAACGCAAGGAAAAAGTTTTCGGCCCCTGGCAAGTAATACGCGGCGCAAGTAGGTCGGTCCCTCTCTGTCTCACTCGGTTTCGGGCTTGGTGCAAGCTCTCTCTCTCTCTCTTATATAGCTAGCGGCGCGCACGCGATGTGTCTGGAAAACGCCAAGTTAGACAGCAGCAGCGGTAGCAGTTGCGCATTGATACTTTTTTCCTCCGCTGGCTAAATGGACCTTAGTAGATCTCTCTCTGACGTAGGCAGCAAATGCTCGAATGATGAGTTTTCTAATCTACGACGAAGCTAATTGATGTTCTTTGTGAGGGCAGCTGAAAGAGAGAGATATGTATACACACGATGTGTACTTCGACGAGGGCGATGGTGTGCGCGCAGGCACATTTTCCAGGTCAAGTTCTTGGAATATTGAGCGCATCTCTGACATCGGGACGAATTTCCAGCTCGCGACAAAATAAATTCCTTCCCCTTTTTTTTTTTCGTTGTTCGTGTATTCTTGCGGGTTAAAAATATTCGCTGTACTAGTAGCGCGCGCGAAAATTCGCAGATACACGGAGAGTGTAGTATATTTTTGGTTCGCAATAATGTCGCGCATGAAATATTTACAAAGTTA